TTAATATTAAAGCATTATATATATGTATATATGGACGCGTGTGGCGCAATGGTTGGAGGCGCCATTGCGACACACACGTGGAATAGACCACCGCTCCCATGGCTCACCAAACCTTCCATCTCTCCGGGGTCGGCAAACTGGTACCAAACTTGTCTGGGAGGATAGCAGCACTGTCCCGATACACCGATAGGCTACCGTGAGTCATTGCGAAGGCCAAATATGCATTCAATCACCTCCAGCGACAATTGATGAACTCGAATGCATGGCGCATTCCTCAGCGATTGATCAACGCCGAGATCTTCGTCCTTTTTGGCCTTTGTTGTGATTTCAGCTATAGCTTCAGCGTAATCGGGTTCGATGTCAATGTGGGCTCCCAGATCAACCCCGTTGACGAGTTCAGTATCTGTAGGTATGCAGCGACTATGCTTGACTCTTCGACACTTCACTCTTCGAAAAGCTCAGTGTTGTCGCCAAAACGAAAGCCTTGTTAGGATTTATTGGAAACAAGAGCGCAATTTCTGATGCAGTCGAGCGATTTGTTTAAACAATAACGTTTAATGAAGAAGGCAAGAGAATGTTCGGATACCTTTTGCTATAAAGACGGTAAGAATTCAGTGTAAGATCAGTATTTTCCGCCGTACTAATAGAGTGAAGTTTCACAACTATCCACTTGTTTTACGGTGAATTCGAAGTTCATATGGTATGGGCAGTCATTATTTTTCGTAATAATCGATGACGTCTACCAAGGGCTCGAATAGAGCGGTGATTGGCGGTGCATTGCAAAGTACACATGGTCATTGGTTTGATCCAGCTCCCTGGTCCCTGGGTTCACGAATCTTTCCATCCCTGTAAGTGGTTTTAGACATATCTAAGAGGATAGGGGTACTAACCTGATTTATTGCAAAGCCACCGCAACTCATTGCAGGCCAAATATACGTTTAATCAACTCTATCGATATTTGATGAAGTCGATTGCATGAAGCATCCTTTAAGTATTGGTCAACATCGAAAGCTCAATTAGGCAATAATTGGCGGTTTTAAGAGGCAAGGTGTCATCGTCTGACATCATATCCTGACGATTACAAATGTATTATACGATGTTTCCATAAATTTCGTAAAAAATAATATTACTGCACAGCTTTTCACTCTGAATGTCTCATGGGTTCTTTAACACAGCTGTGAGAAACCATGCCACCATAGCACTTTGTCCTCAAAATCTTGGAAATCATAACGAGAATAAGCTGCCGAAGAAGTTATGAGTGAAGTTCTCAACTTATTCATCCACATCTCACTTGACTTAGGAGTAAGAAGTTAAGTATGAAACGCCAAGGAAACTTAAAAATGTAACAATCGTTTATGGATGTGAGGAAGCCAAAGCAAAGGCTTCGGTTGGTGTGGTGGATAGCAAATGAACCCAGCGGGTTTGACCTGGGTTCTCAGTTTTGCTCATTTCTCAGCATCTTAGTGGTTATATTTCACATAGCACCTTGCCATGAAAGAAAAAAATTGGCAGGAAATGAAAGTTGGGACATAATTTGATGTGTTTCAATAATCAAATACGAAGCGAGGTTTTAATTCTGCATAGATTTTACCTTCCCAATTTTTAGTTCTTTTATCTCATAAAGAAGTATCTGTTCACTTCAGGGGTAAAATAATATTAAGTAACAAGAGTTTAATGCAAACATGAAAGCCTCCAGTTTCGAGCCGTGATCTAAGCGAAATTCAAATAACCGGTAGCATATCTTTGAAATCTCCCAAGTGAAAATACATCCAAAGCAAAATCTAGATGAGCGAACTTGTCATCGATGAGCAGATGGGCGAAAGGAACAGTAGATTGGACCCAGTGTAATGTAGACGTCGTCTAGAAGCGAACACCTACAAATAGTTGGACGCGAATGAGGGTTCTGTAGGGCCAAAAGAACAACTTTGAGTCATTCACATTTAGCAAATAAATCAGAAGAAATCAGAAACCGAAATCATCAAAACAATGAGTTTTTACCTTTTATTTGCTGCCTACTACAATTTTTCACGGCAGGGTATTATGCGAAATACAACCACAACGATGCTGAGATATTTGCAAAACTCCGGACCACAGATATCTGCGGTGGGGAACGAACGCGTTATTACTTTTTCAGGGAGCTAACGCGCTCACCGCCAAATGAAGGACCTGTATGGTGTGGTGATGTACGCGTTAGCCCCCGGAAAGGGTAATAGTGCGTTCGTTCCCCGGCCGCAGTCACCTACGGTCCAGAGTTTCGTAAATATCTCGGCATTGTTGTGGTTACATTGGGTTCTCTTAGCAAATAGTTCTACGTGAGTGTAATTTTTGCAATGAACTGCATTGGAAGTGAGCCCGTGAGCTGTGAAAACACTGGATCGATGTGATCCTCATTCAAATGTGTAGTCACATCCAATGAATGATTCATCACCACTTTCGTCAGCGAACATCTGTGTTAATTCATTAGAAAACAAAAGAGAAAATTGGCACACAAAGAGTCATCTACCAAAGAATGACCTCATAACCAGAATCAAATTGACCTAATATGAAGCTGATTCTTAAAATTTTGGTAACTGACACAATTATTCTTTCGTTTCAGCCCTTTGAATTCGGCAACGTGACAGGTCGTAGGGATATAACAATTCAGAAAAGCTGTACACATTTTCGAAGAAAGTTGAGTGTGGTAGATGCTTCGAAATAGTATACATAATGCCCTAGCAAGACGAAAAATTTATGAATTGGCAGCAATTATCCATCCTCCACGGTCTCCATTGGTTGGTTTACTACCTTATGGCGGAGAATGTGTGCTTTGGCGAAGAACTCAGATGTGTTATATAGAGTTCATTTTCAGAAAAAGTCGTCCAAGTTCCACACTTAGCGACTAAGCCTGCACTGGAAATTAGCGTCGTCCTGGCTGACACCTGGTTCGAAAACTACCAGCCTTTGTTTGGTCAACAGTGGTTGGCGAGTAGCTGTCTGAGATAAGAATCTGGTTTACCCCTAGCTCACTTATGTTTGAACTTCAAAGGGAAATCCCTCAACCAATTTTTCATTGTACAAGCGATTGTATGACTCATGAAGATAGGCTACTCAAAGGACAAAATAAGACTACTTTTATATGAAAAACGAAATATAACAAAAAAAAAGACCCGATATTATTTTTAAAGTAGCTGGTTCACCGGTGTAGAAAAACAATCGGAGCCTTGCGTCTAAACAGCAACTGCTCAATATGAGCCGTCAACGACTTGATTTCGAGGAGTCTCAAGCACGTAACAAAAGAACCCGATCACAATCATTTTTCATGAAGATCGCAGAGGAAATATATGAGGGCATTCTTTGTACTCTTGAGCGGACAGTACTTTTTAAACAGCTCTAGCATGCTAAATTCTGGAAGTAGGAAGTAGGAAGAATTATTTCTGTCTATATTTATCTATTTGTTAGATAATAAATCAGTCTGTTATGAGGATAGGACGCATTTTCTACCGAGTGTTCTGAAAATAGTTGTAATCAAAATGAGCTTTGCAGAATCTGTGCATTCATCAGTTAATGAGCGATTCAAGCAAGCGCAAATAATATCCCCACTTTTTTGCATGCCAGAGGTCTCTTATGGATTCAGTTAGACAAGTATGAAGGCCATCATATTTTTCGCGCAGAGTTCTTGTTACGAACTCTTATCATCAAGGGATGATCGTTTTTCTACGCATGCTATATAAATGCCTACGGAAGTCGATGGCATTAGTCTCGTTCAAAGCAACCAATTCATCTGATTTTCGACTTTTGGGTGCACGCTGAGACATACGTGACCTTCAATCGTTGACTTCAGTAAGGACACTAGATTTTATCTATAGCTTGTCTAAATGGAGAGTTTCTTTCCACACTGCCCTCTCAATAACGTGAGCCAGTAACATTGACTGTATTTCCACTCTACTAATGCTTCTTCCAGATTTAGCACGGTACAGTAGGTCAGGGAGAACCGTTAACTCCAAGGGCTGCTCGCTGTGTCCAGTGCTATTTGTATTTTCAACTGCACTTGAGTACCTAAACCATGAAGAAAAAATAATTTCGGAAGTATTCTTTCTTGATAAGCTTGCACGAGGTTGATAAATATATTTATTTTCGGCTAACGTTTCGACGTCTTCGTCTTCCTCAGAGCCGGTGATCCGAGTCGATGGTCCATGCTTGTTGTTCGCCTCGACGTTGCGTCTTCGCCTTCCTGTCGAGCCAGATCTTCCTCAGCGAGCCATCTTCTCGAATGAGGCATCCTCACTCAGTGATGCCCTTTTATACACGATGCTGATGGTAGTTATACAATGACAATGTCCGGTGGTAACAACTTGTATTTCTCCCGGACATACATCATTGCGCACATCGTGTAGAGGTCGGTGTGTTATCAGCTAGCACAAAGCGTAGTAATATTTCGAAACCGACCTTCCCTAAACCTCGGTGTGACAAATCAATATGTATTCTTTCTTGATAAGCTTGCACGAGGTTGATAAATATATTTATTATTTATTTAAAAAAGAAAATTTCGGAAGTATTATAATCGAAAAGTGCAAGAAATCATTAAAGTCACACCCTGGAAAATGATAGTGCTCTTGTTTGAATTTACACTCTTAAATGTCACTTGTATGAAAGCGCTAATTTGTTGAACGTGGAGAAGTGACAGTGTTGGTGAGTAAAGGACACGAGATCGAACCAGTGATCGTCTGCGAATCGCAGGACACCTCTGACCACTACGATACGCTTATTCCTTTATGAGTCAGTACTTTGAGCGCTGTATGTTCGTAACCCTTTCGCGACTGCGGACATTTTCGGGCCTAGAGCTAGTCAGGCCACATGTCATTGGAGCGCAATCGGAATGCGCACTGAAGTGGAGATCTGCGTTCCGAAACGTACGGCAGCATATATATTGAAATCAATGCGTGTGTTCGTGAAAGTATTAAACTATCTAAAACTATTCCATACGAGCTACCGCTTGCTGTATAGACGTGCTGTAATGAAATTTATTGAACAACTTGCACTTCCGTCCTGAGCGAGAGACGTTCTCGTTCTGCATTCTTCAAACCAGCCGCACTTGCCATTGTGTGAGTAGGCGAGGAATTGTCGGCTGGCTGATTGGGTGGCTGAAAGGGACGCAGACGACGCACCGCTGCAGTTTCCCGCCCGTGCAGCTGCCGCCGCCCATGACGACAACCGGTTGCCGAACTTTCCACAAATCCCATCACCCTCTCCACTCTTCACTTTAAAAAGCTAACAAATTCAAGTGATTTAACCTTTGTCCACTATGATTTATTAACAAACTATTTGAGAACTAATGAATCATACTGATGAACAACGACTAGAACTGATGCAGGACAATATCTTTCATTTATTTCAGAACAATCATGTTCGCGCTATGTGGATGCCGACTGCCTTAGGATGTCGAGAAGACGAACAACTGTGGACCATCGACTCTGATCATCGGCTCTGATGAAGAACAAGCCGTCGAAACGTTAGCCGATTAAACATCTATATCAACCTCTTGTTACCTTAACAATTCAAGAAGGACACTCATGCAGAAGTTTCCAAACACCCTGAGGGAAACTTTTAATTTCAGGATGTCATCATCATGAATGCCGGTTTTCTTGCGAACAAAGAAGTATTGACACTTTTAAATTACTTATGGTACTTTTAAAGCACTTCTAACATGTGAAGTACTTCTGAAGTACTGAGCAGAGGATGTAAAGTTCTGTCCTTGGTGCTGATAGAATGTCCACTATCACTTATTAACTTCCTCGCTTCCTCTACTCTCCACTTACGGCCTTTCTAATTTGCATTGAATTTTCCATTCTTATGGCCTCGGTCTCCACGTGACTTCATGTGTTTCGAGGTGGTGCTTCGACCCAAACTCTGCCGTCATTCATATAGTTCGAAATTCTATTGCCAGATTGGCAAAATACTTTCCGCTGCTGCCAAGTGCAGCCATTCTTTCTGCAGATCTCTGCTGTGTTCGCAATTTAAGCTTCACGCGCTAATCAATAACTTGACCTTTGATAAGAAACGATGATAAACTATCAGTGTAAACACTCTTCACGATTTGAATTTTTCATAACATTTCATGACGTTTCAATTCCATCAGCAGTGTCTGAGCAAACAAATATCAGACTGACGTCAATATTTAGCCTCGTTTTGAAATTCTGGCTGTTGGGCTGTTCTTTTCATAGTTTCGGCATAACACCGAACCGAAAATCGAATACCATATTTTTTTTCATAAACACTGTAAAGATTGCTGTCACCTTCTATCAACGCTGCAACAAAAACATTTCTTTTAACGTGTTACCTCTTTTACGATCTCAGTTGTTCCCTTTTTAGCGCTGAACTACTCTTATAGTGAGTTCAACGAAGTGGGTGGAAAAGTCACTGTACTCTAGTAAGTAGAAAATCCGAGCGAGAACTAAAATAAAGTGTAGTTCGCTTTTCCTTATTCAATAAGGTGTTTATGCATGAATGTACTAGACGTCCTATGTTTTCCTTGTCGACTATTCTTCGAAATCCTGTGCCTGTTTTAGCCTTTGTTTTTTAGCAGATTCCTTATTTCCTGGTCCTTCTTCATTAATATTTCAAGTTTTCCAAGTTTAGGTTTCTATCAACATGTATGTGACTTTCAGGCGTTAAGTCTCAACGGTTCCTTATGAAGCAGTTTGTGATGAAAAAAGAGGAATTTTTCCGTCTGTCTTTTTTGCGTATCCCATTATGTCTGTTTCATCTTCCTTCTTTGTGCCATTTAATCGGAAGAAAGAAGAACAATGATTCTCGTCTAACATCACGGGCTTCCTTCCCATCTGCCAACAGCGTTGTTTTTTTCGAGTTGCGTGGAAGAAGCGATCTTCATTCCGGAAGAAAGCGATATCCAATTCGAATTTCATCGTACATTTCATTCCCAGTGCAAGTTTATCACACGATGATGACGTTTTTCGAGGTAGGAATATTGATTTTTGTCTTTCTCCCTCTGTCCTCTACTTTTTGTTTTTGTTTTCTTCTTTATTCATTCCTTATTTTCCATCATTCCTCACTGGAGGCACACCTGTAACCTTCGAAAATTCAAGAGAACTGCCTAATTTCCTTGAGAAACATTTGTGCACATGTCCTAGTAAGACGTTGGAAAGCCTGCTTACTTGTTTCTGCTACTGATTGCTTCCTATCTACGACTTAATCAAATGCTTAATGAAAGTCCACTGACGTGGTCTTGCTGCGTAATGACCTTTTCAACAAGATGTCATTGTGGTTGAGATACGAATTTGAAGTTGAACTCGAAATCGTCTTACGTTTTCATAAGCTGATTGAATCCTAGAGCTGTAACATATTTGTTGACCTGAAAAATCATTGTTTCCTTTCCTTTATTTGGTTGATTTGAAGAGACATGATCGTTGAAAGCGCTCTGCTTAGAAATTATCTTATCGTGAGCATTGTAGCGCGTTCGACCCCGCCTCTCGATCCTTCCATTCCCTGCGATCAGCGAATTGGTACCAGGATTTTCTGTATGAATAAAAAGCCTGACTTTTCACCTTAGTATGTAACCGAAATTCATTTTACAGGCTAATTATGCATCCAACCAACTAATCAACGCTACGAATAGGGTGGAATGCATGACGCATTCAGGAGGGATTGTTTAGCGCTGAACGCTCAATCGTTTCTTTTTCGATGGCATTTCGGACGATCACCTGGTGTAACAGCCATTACCAAAACCTAACATCTCTGTTCAACGAGGAGTATTGTGTTCCACAACAAAGCAAAAGTACAAGTTACTACGTCCATTCCTCATTCAACTTCCGTCGTGTCGTTCCACCATTGATCGATCACACAAACACTGTTCGTCGCACTGAAGCGTAAACCGTTCGGCGTTGATCATTACCCTAGAGATGCGCTGTGCTTTCGATTCCATTAAAGAATACAGAGGTGTCTAAAAAAGATGAAGAGAAAGACTTCATTGTTAGCCTCTCAAACGTCCAACTAAGAACCGATGTCAAGTATCCAATGCCTTTAGCCTTCCAGACTAGTGTGTCACGAAAAGCGTCTGCGTTAGGAATGGAAGACTTCACTATCCATGAAAACGGAATTGAACCAAAAACCGTGTACAACGCAGAGAACCTTTATACCATTGTGCTACTCACACTCCTGCATTGTTAATTTTCAACTACTTAGTTTTCCTCTCGAATCTGCATCATTTTCGAAATCTCCTGACTTTTTTCCAGATCATCTATTATGGTTATTTTGAACATTTTCCTGTTATATAAGCATTGTTCAGCTTTGGTTCATAGCATTCGTTTTCTTTCTTGTAGTTGCCCATACGGACTACAGATTAAGCTGTAGAGTAAAAAGAAAAACAAAACGAAGTTCTCACGCTCTGATTCATCTTATCTTACGACCTATTGTCTAAGAAAACTTATTTGTTATTCATTAATTTCTTACGATTACCGTATTCCGAAATGTTCAACGAGAAAGCTTTGGATGGCCTTCTGAATCTCTCTTTTGTTTATTTCGCAATTTGATTCGTTGTTTGTTTTGAAATTCATAGAACACAAACACTCGATGACTCGGTTTATCCATTTTCAACTAGCCAGCTAAGATTATATAAGAGTAAACAGTGAAAGCAAGATGATCAGCAAAAATTGTCACATTGAATGGACCTAGCATTTATTGTTTATTTGTTGGAAATACGAAGTGGTTTTTTAAAGCCATGATCTATATTTTATTTTCCGGTCTGAATTTTGTAGTAATGTAAAAATAGAAACTACGTAACGTAAATCTGGCTCTATTTTTCTTTGTCAGGTCTTTCGATAGGGGCGCATGTGGCACAGTGGTCAGAGGCGCCATGCCCCGCACACGTGAAATCGATCTCTACGCCCATGGCCCACCAAGCCTTCCATCCCTCTGGGGTCGGCAAATTGGTACCACATTTGTCTGGGAGGATAACAGCACTGACTCGATATATCGGTAACCCACCTCGAGCCATTGTAAAGGCCAGATATGCATTCACTCACCTCTAAACGGTGTTATCCTTTTTTAAAGCCCTTAGAATCGAATTGATTTTAAAAATTTGAACATTTGGATCTGTCTGGCTAATCTGCTATCTGACGTATTTTATTTTCTCATAAGGCTTTCAGTGGGAACTTTACTGGAGAAAAGTAATGATGAAAATAAAAGATGCCTTAACTCATAGGTGGGTTTGTGGTTGGGACAGCAAGCCCATTCTTTGAATTCTGCTCTTCTGTGTGATGGCCTGTTCGACATCAGTGAACCTCTATTCACTATGGCGGAACCATTTCGCTGAGTTAGTGATTAACCTTTCTAGTAGAAGCGTATTTACATGGGATGAAAATAATTCCATCAAGCACTCGCGCCCATAGGAATTGAATGGGAGTTTCGTGACTGACAAGAAATAATGGTTACGATGCGCCTATCACCGCTTACTTCAAAGGCGTTTCAATGCTGAAAAGAACAAGAGTCACTGAAGAGAGACGGACAGTCCTTACATTGCCATTGATGTAACTTTTTCCTCTGCTGTACCAATGCATTCCATCAAAATTCGTAGTAGGTTCTCTATACTTACTCTTTGAGCAAAATGTTCAGCTTCGATCATCGCTTTTGATGACGGAGTTGTTTACCACATTCTATTCCGATATGTCTTTTTTGTACACCCTTGCCGCTACTTATCTTAGCAAACAAGCACCTGGTTTGGTATAGCTTATATTACTCAGATAATTCCATGTTTCCTTTACAATATTTTTCTCACTAAAGCTAACATTTCGACGGGCTTTGACCTCTTCAGAACCTGGAGTGGTCAACTTCGTGCGTAGTCTAATCGACCAAAGACTTCCAAACAGCAGTAGAAATACTCGAAACCTGAATTTCAACCACATGGAAAACAGCTCCATTCATACCCGGACGGAAAATTGCTGAGCATGGGCGAGGTGAATAAAAAGTCGGTCCTGGGAAATGCTCAGATATTTATTGCCACAGTTTCACGACCGAGATTCCTAACCTTACACATAACTAAGTACTATTATCTTATCGCGACTTCTTGGCGATTATGCTGTTGTTTGCAAAAAATGTTCCGGGTTGTGTAGCGTATAGCTTTAATGCCTCATCCGTCATTTAACCCGTAACGATTAGAAATGCGTTGAAGAAAACACGTACATGTGAGCGTCTGAGTTTCCGTCTTAAACAATGAAACGGTGGAAGTGGCGGGAGTTTTTCCAGCAGAACCTTTGATGCTCACATAAGTATCGTAGAGGCATGCAACAGCTCCGTTTCCATTAAAATCTTTCCAAAGTTTAAATCCTACTCAAGTTTTTTAAAGAGCCGTATTTAGGTGAATGCAAAACTAAGTTGACGTTTTGGAAAAAAATTCTTTTCGTTAACAACGTTTGAGTAGGATCACTTCTGTCACTCTAACGAGCCTTGAGTTCTTGAGGAGGTCTTGTTCGAAAACCGATCAGAAACTGTCGAAAAACAAAGAACAACCATAATCGTCGCGGTTGCCTTAATATGATAACACCAACTCCTTCATCTAGTGACCTTGCAAGTCAAGTATTACCCGTGTTTTGTCTACATTTTCTACCTCTATAAGTTATAGTGTGTAACGATTAATTAGAAGGACTGAGTTTCGATTATCCTCGGCATTTATTTATGTGATCTTATAAACTTATCTTCTTAAGCTGACGAGAGGTTGGTACAGATCTTCGTTGTCGTTGTTTTTGATGTTGTTGGTCGATGGCTGATGTTTCGGCGACTTCGCCTTCCTCAGAGCCTGGACGTACTTTATGTTAGAATACTTTTTATTATTCGGTGGAAAAGAAGCTTAACTATCTATCAACTATCTATGCCGAGGTTTGTAGAAAGTCGGTCTTTCGAGTTATCCTCGGCATTAATTAACTTGCATATTAATATTGTCAACACTTCGTTTTGACCTGAGACAAAGTCATTAGTACGTATTTTGATTCTGATTGATGCTGGGTGGATAAATTCAAATTCGTCTTATTCAAAGTCATTATCGTCGTTAACGAGTGGAACTAACTGCATCCAGTTCTCATAAAAGCTAAAGGATAAAGCTTTCAGCGTTGATCACCCCTGAGGGATGCGCAATGCATTCGACTTCACTAAACATCATTGGAGGTGATTGAACGCATACCTGACCTTTACAATGAGTTGCGGTGGCCTACCGATGTATCGAGTAACTGGTGCTATCTTCCGAGACAACTCTGCTACCAATTTGCCGATCCCGGAGGGATGGAGGGTTTGCTGGGCCTGGAGCGCTGGATCGATCCCATGTGTGTTGCAGGGCGTCTCTAACTGCAGCGCCACCCACGTCCATTGTAGTTCACACACGATGAACAGCAACAATTGTTGAAGCAGTGTTGCAACTTATTAATGAGTACAATTTGTCTGTAATGCAGAATTTGTCTATCAGTTATCTTTCAACATTCATCAGTTCATCTTCAGTTCTAAAAAGACCAAGCAATTCTTCGTATTCCTGTTGAGTCTAAATAGACCCTATGCATTAACCCCAATTCGTTCTCATTGCGACTTCTTGTTTTGTCACAAAGAGTTTATTTGCTATAAGTTCTATGTTAAATCGATGCATTATTCTCATCGAATGTTGCACCAGATGTGGTCCATTGGAAAAGCTTCTGTTTACACTTTATTTACTAAAATCTTTTTCTGACGAATTTCTCAATGCACCCCGCATTCGGCGACAAAGGGCGAAGTCCTATGTGGCTGTTGCACAATGCTTCAAAGAATCGCCGTAATCGTCTAAAAATATCACCTAAAATGTTATTTCGGTGCTTCTTAAGCGTCTTTAGATTTATTTCAAACGCAAAGTTTAGAAAGCTTCTAAATGAAATCTGAAATTTTGCATCGCGAGCGCGGCATCTGGGAACACAAACGATACCTTGTAGGACACCATCATATTTTGCTGTGCGAAATCCCATTTGCTGAATGTCTTTGTTGTGTGCTTATTAGCATTGACGGAAAAGAAAGCGAAAAAATATGTTTTATGCTCTCTAGAAAGTTATACTTTCATCCCTGTAGAATAAGAGAAGTTACACCTTGTTGACAAACATTTATGGGTTCTAGTGGTTCTCATTAGGCTTGCTATTAGCCGAGATGTGATTGCTTAAAACTGAAAACCCAATTTATTTTGCGCACTCGTGAATTATATGCGACTCATGCCATCCCCAATGTTTATTCAGTTTGTTTGCTGCCTTTCTGTCTTTTTTATTATAATAATTGTCATATAACCACAATGATGCTGAGATGTTTGCAAAACGAGGACCCCAGGCCAGATCAAACTATGATTACCCTTACTGAGTGCTCGTGTGTTACCCACGACACGACGCAGGCTCTCGTTCTGTTTTTCTATTGGCCATTCTCATATACATAGTTGTTTTTACCTATTGAACCGTCGTCCCAGTATGTTGGTTGTGCTACTTCAAACGTTTGTTTCCGTTCTCGTATCTCTCTATTTGGTTCCCTATTTAAGTTATATGATGTTTAGATGGACAACAACGAGCGTAATGGATTCTTAACTTCTGAATCCGATTATGACTCCTCGAAGTTTCATCAAATTATTGTTACGGTATGTCTGACTATTGATAACCATTTCCAAACTTTATAGCGTGGGTGAAAGTAGAAGCTGCTTTGTCCTACGCCACCAGCGTTGACATAATTCAAAGAAGCTCTTTACAATAGAAATTTGACTGGAAAACGAATAGGATAAAAATAACAGTTTTGAAGGAACATCAATTATTGTTTCGGCTGAAATCTCGATTTCATTTGTTCCTTCTCGAAGGTTCTAAATTAAAATTTCTAGGATCCTTACGCACGTTCTTCTTGTTCGTTCACCATACCTAAGCGCTACATAAATTTAAAGTTTCTGAATGCTGGGGCACAAGGAACTGTTGTGTGAGTTCTATTTATCTAAACACTGTGAATCATTCCAGTTTACTTTTCGTTCATCCGACTCAAGTAACTATCGTAGAGGTGATTGTGTGTAGGGTGACTAATGCATAAAGCTAGTCATTTTATCCTCCAGGACAACTGTAGTAGCAATTTTCCGACCTCGGAAGGGTGGAAAGTTTTGTGAAAGGTTGCTTTCACTGGGCACTACGATAAGCAACCTCTAATTTTATATGTACATATATATGAAATAACTCCAATTTATTTTCACTATTTTAGATCAGCCGAAGACACGTTGACCGGAACAAAGGTGGCAATAAAGAAGATGCAACAGCCGTTCATTATGACGATGAGTGCCCGAAGAGCTTACAGAGAGTTCATCCTGCTCACGACGATTAGACATCCAAATGTGAGCGTAACTACTTGAAATATGCACGAATTCCAAAAAAGAATCTATCCCATGAGGGCTTCGTACTTTTTTATACACAATAAAAATTCACTAGGCACAAGGTTAGAGTTTCTGTGGAGGTTTCACACGGTCCAAAAAATACACGATGGTTTTGAAATCGTGAAAGATCTTTCTTAGCTGCTAATTTTTTCTTTCAAACTGTGTCAGGTTATATGCGTTTGCTATTTTATACTTATTTCCGTTTTTCATTCGTTTATTTGGTTCGGTATACAAATATTAGAGAGAGAGAGAGGTAGAAGAGAGGAAGAGAGAGAAAGATTTGGTAGCAACTGAATAGGTGATAAGTATTTATGCGACTATGTCCAAAATTCCTCCATTACAACGGAGGCTGTCGCGCCTATAGAGAAACGGCCAACATTCAACGACATTCATTGATATTGTTCGTTCGTTCATTGGCCGTTTAGTTTATTGTGAGAAAGAGATTTCTAGTGAAACTGGTTGGCGATCGACTTTCTTGTTGGCTAGCTGGTATTTTATAGACGAGGTCGACTTTTTTCGATTTTGTGTTCCTAGCTGAAGCAAGAGTTACGCAGCGCTGTGAAGTCCTTTAGGTATTAGAGTGTAATTAAGGGACTGGACGAAATTTAAACTCTCGAAATTTCTCATGCAACGCGGCTCTCGCAAAAGTTAGCGGTGAAGTAGGGACATTAGCGTTTCCTACTATGGGTAGCCCTCCTGGCTTGTTCAATTGGTTTCGTGAATTCCATGAAATCGAAATTTTGTCACCGTAGAGGAAAAAAAGTTGTGCCGTGTTGGGAAGGAACTACTGATTCTAATAGTTTTTATTTCAAATGAAGCTTGCCATAGGTTGGGATGTGTTCTTCTAAAGCTCAAAGTGCCCATTATTTTCGTATCGTACGACTCCGCATGGGGTCACATCGTCGCGAGTGTTTTAAACACAACGGATGGATGATTGCACCAGGATATTCTGAGGTTTCTGTTCACCAGCCATTTGGCTCGAAAAAGAAAAAAAAGAGCATCTAATGCAGCTTTTACATCAGCAGTCTTCAACAAAAAACACTTGAGACTGTCATTCGTTTAGTCGAACCACAAAAATTGCGCCTAACATCATTTACTCACTTGCCGTTCAAATGCCAGGTTGATGTCACTTCATATTCAGGAAAACTAAATGTACAGAAGGAAAAAAAACAAATAACGAGCTTCGGTTTCTTTTTAAAATGACATGTTTGGATAAACATCTTTATCCGTCCTAATCTGGGCGTGGTGTCTGAGTCCTACACTAAGCTTTTGCCGAAATCTGTTTCCAAGAACTCACTACAAAGGACATTCACGGCATTTAAACCTTGTAATTATATTGGCAACCGAAATATTTTACTCTTCACGTTGGTTTAATGTGTAAAAGATATCTTGTCCTTAGTAGTCATGATGTTTTTCTTCGTTAAAATTCCACTCAAAATCAAGTTCGTTCTTATAGATGTGTTCCTTATCGAATGCACAACAATGTTTGTTGAAACAAGTCGCAGAGAAGACTTTTAAAAATATTACGTAAAAAAGTTTTAAGAAAGCTCGCTTAGAGTCGGAATATCTCTATAAAGTGTTTGATAACAGTTGGGTACCCCACAAATAGATAAAGAGCTTCGGCGCTGATCAATGAAAGAGTAAAAGATAAAACTCTCGGCCTCGATCAATCCCTGAGGGATGCGTCATGCATTGGACTGCATTCTTAGAATCGCTGGAGGTGATTGAGTGCATATCTGACCTTTACAATGACTCGCGGTGGCCTACCGATGTATCGAGCCACTCCTGCTATCCTCCCAAACAAGTCTGGTACCAATCTGCCGACCCCGGATGGGGAGGGATGGAAGGTTTGGTGGACCGTACCGTGAACGTGGGGATCGATTTCACATGTGTGTTCCGGGGCGCCTCCGACCACTGCGCCACACGCGCTAATCAGTATGTTTATAAATGCTTTCTTGATAAACAGACATAGGTCTGTTAACACTATTCCAAAATGGCTCACTTTTTGGTAGATTGCACTTTCTTCAAACCCTGGGTGAAAATCTTATTAGTGAGCAGTTTACTCAGCCTGTAACCCTAACAGAAAGAACTCAGCACTTAAATTTTAGTTACATAGTAATTTTTGAAAGAATCACGGGGTTTAATGATGTTTGTCCTTTCGCAGTAGTGTGTCTACTATCAGATTATTCGTCTACTTAATGCATTCACGCCACAAAACGAACTAAATCGATTTCGAGAAGTGTACTTGGTGATGGAATTGATGAGCCACAATCTCCATGAGGTGATAACCAAACTACGGTAGGTTGCCGCCATTAATGCATCTTTCCTTTGATCAACTTACTCTAGTCACTTCTAGACTGGATCACAAGACTTTGTCGTTTTTCGTTTACCAGATGCTTTGTGCCATAAAACATCTACACAATTCCGGAATTATTCACAGAGTGAGTTCACAGCGTAGCGATGAAATGGTTGACAACTTCATAATTTTATTCACAGGATCTGAAGCCATCGAATATTGTGGTGAACGACAAATGCGTGCTAAAAGTGTTGGATTTCGGCTTGGCAAGGAAGAAGACCGTTGACACAGCGATGCGAATGAGTGACTACGTAGTAACTCGTTATTACCGTGCTCCAGAAGTTATTCTTGGATTGCCGTATTCTGAAAGAGGTCTGTCATCCTTACGTTCAATATATAACACCTTCACCTGACAGTGCATTCCCTAGCAACATAATGAACTTCAGACCAGCACATATTAGGTCGAATCAAACATTACTAGTTGGAATGTTACTAGTTCGAATATAAAACCCACTCGAATTGAGAGATTTATTCCAGAACGATACATTTTATCCTACTATACGAAGATGAAATTGTGATCTTTTGGAGTGCATGGCATGTGGCTTCCCTTTTTTACCCGTTTGCGTTAAGGGCCCGTTAAGTCTTATTTGGAGCTCAAAAGCAAATAAACAAGCGAGCTTTCGTTTAGAAGGATACAATGGGTTCCACAATTTATCCCTAGGATTTGCACTTTTTTTTTGAATTGGATAACTTAAGAGTTTAAATTTCGTTTCCAATAAATTAGGAGTATACTGTATTTAAAATAACTATACGATTAAGAAGTTAAGACTCAGTCTGTTCTATAAATCGATGTCGTGCTGAACTCTTCAAGTCCTCCCCACTCTCCTCGAGCTCTTAATTTCTACTGATGTGGATATCATCGTCAGTGTAGAAAAATTGGCATCGTGCGTTGTTTGTTAAGAAGTTGCTTCAATATATTTTGCTGCTGTTCTCATCGACGTCACTATATGTAACGCCAGAACAAAGGTCTCATTGAATCATAGTTCGCGATTTATAAGATATTTCTGATTTCTCAAGGAACCGCATCCTCTGAGAATTTGTGACCGTTTCTTTCGACAGCCTTTATGATCACGTATTTCTGTTAGGACACTTTAATACTGCTTGCTATTGTTCAATTGCGTCACCAGCAATTTGCTAATTTTCCGGTTCCCTACGGAATGATCTTTACTGGCTCTTTTATTTTGTTTATAAGGTTCTTGGAAAATCGTTATCTGTTTTTATTTAGTGGATATCTGGTCTGTTGGATGCATATTTGCCGAAATGATCAATCACCACGTGTTATTTCCCGGGTTGGATCGGTTAGTTCGATATTGATCTTCTTAAAAAAAAATAGAACGACTAATGTCTTAGTCGTTTGTGACTGACTTATCTAACATATTTAAATGGCCCATGCGAGAGGAATAGCGCAGTGGTAGTGATGCCGTTCATGACGAGCATAGTAATGGTGGTGAACATCGCTACGCCAGGACTCACTAGGCTTCTGATCCGTCTTGGGTCAGAAAATAGGTACATTTATCTGACATAGTGCACTAGCTGCCATCCAAGTGGGAGCGCGCTGGTCCGGCTATCTTCCGGAGAAAATCGACTGGGCCGGCATTCAAGGATATTCATGAATAAGAAGACAATCCTCAGGCCGCAACCGAACACACCGCGAACAGTTCGAAGACCTTTGAAGATGCTAGATGCGAGGAAACGAATTGAATGCAACAAGTGCTGGGATCCACACAGTAGATGTGAGGGCCGGTCGTGTAGAGAAATTTTAATAAAATGAATCGGCATCACATATAATAAATATCTCAGGCGCTCGTTGTTTTCGGTTCGTTTGCCTTTTTCATTAGGTTCGTTGTCTTAGGTCCATCATTCACGAAAGTTATTGGATTTTCGTCTGAATTCGGCTTTGCCTGAGGATCTTGCCTTTTTTTACAAATTTCCCTGAATTCTGGTTGAATTATTCTCCTTAAATCCAGCGGCAGCTCCGATAAACGTTCCTAGGACTTCACCACAGGCAGTGGTCCGCCTCTTCGTATTGGTGGAACCTATTTCTAGGCGAGGTTGGTGGCAGCTTGAAGGCTATGGAACGATAAGGGACTTCAATGGTCTGGGTGGAGGAGAACCAAAGAGCTGGCTTTCATTGTATATCATCCCTATCTGTTGTGGTCTATGAGCCCCATTTATTTTACTAGTTATACAAAATTGCTAGCTACTCTTGCAAGTTGGCAAACTTTTCTCTGATCGATAAGGGTGCTTGCAGCGAGAGTTCTGTAGCATGGCTGCATAGGGATTCCAATAGAAATCGTGCTCGATCAGTCGAAATCTCAGTATGAAAAGAAGGTAACAAAGTCAATTCACAGTCGAATTAAAATCCAAATCCGATCACTTCTATGAAGGAACGCTTACAAAACAGCGAAACGAAAGGAGGAAGTACAGGCGGTCCACCACATCAAGACGAGCGATCTGAGTCTCCAAGTAACAACGAAGGTTTTATTTGTGATCCAAATCTATATAGATGCAACAACTCTTCATGAGATTGTAAAAGCTAATTATATTATAAAGGTGTTTGGAAACTCCAAAGGTTCTTACCAACATGATGGAAATCCCCCAAGATATCACAGAGTTCAGAAATTCCGAAGGATACAGGCTTTTGGTATCTATTTTCCGCAGCAGATTTGTTGTTGAAAATCTTTCCATCACTAAATTGTCGAAAGATAAGGGAAATGGTAGTCGTTTGAGAAGCTAACGTTCAATATCACATACTGAAAGGCATCTATTGTCTGTTTTGTTATCGAAACTTATTGTAGTGGGGTAATGGTGGATGTAGTCTGACATGGGTTATGCCTTCTACGATGGACTTGTAGCTGTGTTTCAGCTACGTCAGACCTCAAACTTGGAAAACTAAGTCTGTAAGGAGTACAGTGGATAAGAATCAAAGGTTCGGTCACTTCTGGTGACTCACTGATGTACTAACATATTGTTTTTATCTTCCCAGACAACTCTCGTATCAATTTGCCGAACCCCGGAACGATGGATGCCTTGGTGAGCACGGGACACGGGATCCAACAAACGACCCCGTGAGCGCTTCAGGGCAGCTCTAACTCCGGCGTTATACGTGCCCCTCATGTAAACAATGTATAAATAGTAAATTATTAGCTGTGTCAATATAAACAGAGATAGCCTAAAAAGTGCGGATTAACGCAAATAATTATAGGATAGCTTTTTAATGGGTTATTAAAGTAGAGGATTGTTCTTCATTTTAATATACTGCGGAGAACGAGCACCTAATATAAATGTTGGAAGGGATGAAAAAAGGTGGTTTAACAGTTGAAAAAAATTCCTCGTTATTTTTTGAATGAACCATTTTTATTCTACTTCCGAAGCTATATGTCAATCGAGACCGAAAAGGACATAGAATATACAGGAACAGCACGAAGACTGGCGATCCAGACGCCGCTAGTATGTCACACAATCAGTGCCAATCACAGCTCTACAATATAGATGACACATTCAAACCGTCTTCATAATACACTGGAGAAGAAAACAGCAGTATACAGTCATTACTGGAATTGAAGGATAGTGTGGATGCTTAAGGGTGCGTGGAGTGCAAGTAGTTAGAAGTGTCACAGGGATGTGGATGGTCGCTGACTACTTGTAGTAATGAAACCTCTTATTGAATGGTCAGTGGAATATTGGTATTCGAGTCACAGACCTCCACTCAGAATAATTACTAGCCCGAAGAAGAATGCTCGGCTTTGTACGAATTTGAAAGCGAGACGTTTGACGTCTCCACAGAACGCAATTTCATGCTTGGGTTATAACCGAAGCAATAATACTAGTACAATATTTACTATTTGAGGATACCCAGAAAGGTAAGGAAAGGTAGGAAAGAAAAAAAGTTGGGCGAACTTACTGAGAGAACGAGATGAGCGAAACGGACCGAAACTTGGGAGAAACTAACTGAGGTGCCTCATAATGGGCCTTATATTCCTAGCTCTGGGCGGAGTTTTGACAGGAGGAACGAACGATAATGCTCAGACGGTTATTCAAAAGGTTTCTCAGTTAGTACAATATTAGAGAGTTGCTTGCTCAGAAAGCTCTTAAAAGCCACATTGTGGTTTAAACAGACGAGAGAGCGGTGCAGTAGCTTATACAAAAAGCTGATTGGAATTTCAGTTTCTGGAGAGCACATTTAGCCGACAGCCGCTCATTCAGTGCCTGAACTGTTGGACAACGAACAACTCTTACAAGAAAGTTACTCTCAGCCATCTGCGACCCAGGTGCTTGAGATGGTCGCTAAAAAGCAATTTGTGGAAAGTGGAAGAATAAATACAGGATAATTATTACTATAGGAGGTATACGGAAAATAGGAACTATAAGTTGCTATGAACTCTCCATCCATCTTCAGTCTTCAGATTGATGCCGAAGTTGTCCGAGAGGGCTGAAGCGCCGATTTGGTTCATTGGTAAACATCTGAAAGCATAGAGCATATAAACTAGACATAAATTCACTCACCTTTACGATACTTAATGAAGTCGAATACGTGGGAGGTTCAAAAGCCAGAGGTGAACGCCTAGTACTTTAAGATTTTGTAAATATGCAGACAATATTGGCTAAATCGATCTCCCCACCAAGAAACTTCGCGAAGCAACTACGCACTGTACGTTCAGTAGCGCCCCGCCGCTTTGCCTAAGTGATGTTTTGTTTTTTCTTCGCGCAAAGGTACAACAACACCTGAGCTTATGAAACAGAACGACTTAACCTTCTTCACTTGAGAGCATCATTTGAGTAAGTATAAAATAGTCACAAAGTAGGAATTAGCAAAAGTATTACAATAGAAAATAACTTAAACATAGTGTATAATGTATGCTGTGCATCTATACGAGGTAAGGACTTGCTATTGGCACTCTGAATATTTCTATTGAACAGAATGTGGTTAAAAGGATAGGGAAGATAGAACTCTCAGCGTTGACTGATCCCTTAGGGTTGCGCCATGCTTTTTACTTCATTAAGCATCGTTAGAGATCATTGAATGCATATATGGCCTTTACAATGACTCACGGTGGCCTGCCAGTGTATCGAGTCAGTGTTGTTACACTCTCAAACAAAACGGTACCAATTTACCGACTCTGGAGGGATCAAGGAGTTAGTAGTCTGAGGTGCGGGTTCGAGCTCATATGTGTTGCAGGGCGCCTCTCACCACTGTGCTATACGCGTCCCAAAAATGTGATTATCAGTCCGTATTTTATGTTTTTGCCAAAGAACATAGACAAACGATAGAGATTACACGTTGTGTTATGTGCTTATTTTCTAACAGCTTTGTTTTTCTTGAATAAAGTTGCAGGTTTTTGAAAGTGTTGTAGTTTAGAGTCGATCAATGGACGAAGATTATTAACGTAATGGGTACACCCAGTGATGAGTTCATCTCGAAACTCGGTAGCAGTGCAGCTATGTAAGCTGTTCTGCTTTTTTTCCTTATGGCTTACTTGTTTGTTTATTATTTATTATTTTTTAAGATTATTGTATGAGATTCTTGTAGTAGTATTCCCTCCTAAAGGTTTACCGTCTCACCGTGACTGCGAAGTGTTCCTGGGTGTCGGTCAATGATCTACAAGGGGGATTCATCCCTCGGCATGGTCTGCCAAGTTGACTGAGAAGAAGTCCGGTGTTTCCATCAAGAAGGCCAGCTAAGATAGACGAATACGGGGATCCACCACCGCCCTGGTATCAAACTAGTCGCATGGTGGCAAATCTCCCTCTGATCCACAAGGTCTGCGACTGCGTGTGGTGCTTACCACGTGGGGCAGAATTTGGCCACGCTGACCGTGGGGCTCCGGGAACCATAATGGATAAACCAGCAAAACTTCGAAAAATAGAGAACGCGCTGGGACCTGACAAACGCTGAGGACTGGCCGTCCAAGTATCCAAATAAGTATAGTAGCAATATCATGGTCCAAAAGCAATCGTGTGCACTACGGCTAGAAAGTGCTGTATTTCACTGTTTCATCTGATTTAGTGATTTGACATCCAGCGTGACAACAATACGTAACAAATCTCACAAATAGGTAGACGAACTAGATCTCTATTTCTGTGCACGAATTTTAAAAGAAGTGGAGGCTTTAGCACGTTTTTCATAGACACTAATGGACAATAATTTCTTTACTTTAGCAGTTTGGGACAAGAGAAATTCAGGTATGTGCGATCTCTTCCTCGTCAAACTGGTATTCCCATCGTGGAAATAGCTCCTGACGCAAATTTCCTGAAAGACACGGAGAACGTTCGATCACATCTGACAGGTTCGTTGTGAATCACTTTATTTTCCTGCTGATCTGCCAGAATGAACGTCTTTAGATGCTTGTGTTCTCTATTTCTAATGTTCATGCATCCCTTTTTTGGGAAGGATCATCAAGCGATTTCGGTGTTTTTTAGAACACGTGATAAATAGTAGAGGAATAGAACCTTGTTTCATGTTCTTTGTTTGTTTACCTTCATGATGTTCAGCTGAATATGCTCGGGATTTGCTGTCGAAGATGTTGGTGATCGATCCCGACTATCGTTTCTCGGTGGAGGAATCTTTGAATCATCCTTATGTTAAGCTGTGGTTCAGGGTGAGCTCTACCTGAAGATGTTATGCTCGTTGCCTACTGATCTTTGGCGCGGTTTATAATTTTTCATTGCGCTATTTTTATTTGGCCTACCATCAATGTAAAATGAAATGAAGGATTTTTCTATTGAACAGATGAAATGAAGCAAAAACACTATCTTGTATATGAGTCACTGTATTTCTTCTTACCAGCAAATTGTACCAAAACAAGTTGCTTTAGGACGATGAGGTGAATGCACCTCAGTCGGAAAATCGCTACAATGAGGCGATCGACTCCTCCGACAAGCAGTTGAATGAATGGAAAGGTAGTAAAGGATGAATGGGGAAATTTTCTTAGGGTTTCCCACCTTTCGATAGTGCTTTGAAATGTTTCAGAGTTGATCTATAACGAAGTAAAGCAGTATGAACAACAGCACGACATATTCGGGTCATGATGGGTTAGTTATAGGACCGGGTTCGTCACTCCTAGAGAAGCGCTACGCCTCCTTTGGAGCCCAACACAATTACAAAGACAGGAATTCACATAGTAGTTGAATTTATGTTAGATAGTGATTCTCTTTATTTTTTCTCCTTTTTGGTATAAAGGAGGAGAAGTTAGTTGCTACGTGCAAAGAAACTAGTTGTCATAGTAGATAGGGAATGTGTACAATTGTCACGAATTCCATCATCTGTCGGGTTACTGATCGAACCGGGTTTTTTAAGTGTTTTCTTTTAGAGCAGAGCTCCTCTTAGGCTCGAGTTCATACTCATCGTCACATTGTCAGTGCTAGTCTTTTCTTCAGAATGTTTGCTAATGTCGTGTAATGTTTGTGATAATCCTTCACTGTCGATATGTTTCAGTTCGTTAGATACGCACTTTTGTTGTTGTTGTTGAATGTCGTACGATTATTTAATATTTAAAAAAATCCTCTAAAGTTAGGAATATGTGATGAATTCTTTCTGGAAATTGGAAAGATCAGCCAGAAACCCATATGATCTTTATTTTCTTCTTCGACCAATGATACGTCCAAAGAAGTAGAGTGATGCAAGCCAAGACTATTATGCGAGTATAAGGATATTTTAACATATCGGAGGGGCTTTGAAATCCGAGAAACACTGCTTTACACTGTATTCTTTCTTGATAAGCTTACACGAGGTTGATAAATATATTTATTTTCGGCTAACGTTTCGACTACTTCGTCTTCCTCAGAGCCGATGATCCGAGTCGATGGTCCACACTTGTTATTCGTCTCGACGTGGCAGCTTCGCCTTCGTGTCGAGTCAGGTCTTCCTCAGCGAGCCATCTCCTCGAATGAGGCATCTTCACTCGGTGATGCCATTTTATGCAGGTTGCTCATGGTCGATAGCTTTGATCGCTCGGTGATAGTGTGATAGTAACTTGTTTTTTCCCCGGACAATCAAACCTGCAGAAGTCGGTGCTATTATCAGCTAGCACAAAGCGTAGTAATATTTCGAAACCGACTTTCCTTGAACCTCTGTGTGACTAATCAATATGTATTCTTTCTTGATAAGCTTACACTAGGTTGATAAATATATCTATTGTCGGCTAACGTTTCGACGTCTTCGTCTTCCTCTTTCTTGAAATACTACTTTACAATCTCTCAAATTCAGATCACTCTGGCAATTGTGAAATCATCGTTTAATCATTAAATAAAAAAGGATAAAACTATCGGCGTTGATACCTTAGGGATGCGCCGTGCATTCGACTTCATTAACCATCGTTTAGAGGTGACTGAATGCATATCTGGCGTTTACAATGGCTCGCGATGGCCTTCCGATGTATCGAGCCAGTGCTCTTATCCTCCCAGACAAGTTTGGTACCAATTTGCCAATCCCGAAGGGATATGAGGGTTGGTGGGCGACGGCGCGGGAATCAATCCCATATCTGTTGCATGACACTGACTTTTACATTACATTGGCTCGTGGCCTACCGATGTATCGAACCACTGCCGCTACCAGACAAGTCTGATACTAATTTGCCGGCCTTGGAGGAATGGAAGGCTTGGTGGGCCTACGGCAATGGATCGGTCCCATGTGTATTGCAGGCACCATTAACCACTACGGTACACGCGCTATAACCAGTCGATATTTTCTTAAATGAGTAATCTAACACGAGATTCTTACATAATCTTCTATTCGGCTAGCGTTTCAACGCTTTTGCTTTCTTCATAGCAGCAATGATTCTAGTAGATGGTCCAAAATTCGTTCATGTATTCTTTCTTGATAAGCTTGCACGAGGTTGATAAATATATTTATTTTCGGCTAACGTTTCGACGTCTTCGTCTTCCTCAGAGCCGGTGATCCGAGTCGATGGTCCATGCTTGTTGTTCGCCTCGACGTTGCGTCTTCGCCTTCCTGTCGACGTTGCGTCTTCGCCTTCCTGTCGAGAATATATTTATTTTCGGCTAACGTTTCGACTACTTCGTCTTCCTCAGAGCCGATGATCCGAGTCGATGGTCCACACTTGTTATTCGTCTCGACGTTGCGACTTCGCCTTCCTGTCGAGCCAGATCTTCCTCAGCGAGCCATCTTCTCGAATGAGGCATCCTCACTCAGTGATGCCCTTTTATACACGATGCTGATGGTAGATATATAATGACAATGTCCGGTGGTAACAACTTGTATTTCTTCCGGACATACATCATTGCGCACATCGCACAAAAAAAAAATTCGTTCATTTTTGCCGTGTGGGTCCTCGATGTCGCACAGAGTTCAATCCATTGAAGTACCGCTTGAATGCAGTAACCTCACTCAGCAGCACCATTTTGTACTGGACGGCTAATGATCAATAACCACTCTCATCCATTTTTTAGCAGCGCTGTGTGCTGCGGTAGTCTGAGTCATTATTAGTTAAAGCGTAGCGTAACGATATTTTGCTATATTTTGGTATATTTTAATAGTTAGTGCGATAGCGGCTGACAGTGGACCATCGACCAGGAAGAACGCTGCTCTGAAGAAGGTGAAAGAGCCGAATCGTTGGCCGATTAAAAGTTTTTGTAACAATCTCAAGTTAGCTTCATCGTTCAAGCAAATATTCTAGTCTCTTCTATTAAAGGTCTAATTGTCCGTGCCAATAGTGGAGTACTTCCATTGCAAAACTCATCGGAGAGCAAGCTACGCAACATTCTTGATGGATAAGTTCAAGTTTTATAGTTTATAGTTTATATATTTAGTTTTTATAGTTTAGTTCTTTCTATAGATAGTCTTTAGAGTTCTTGGTCAACCAAAGTACAGAATCTACTGAAAAACATACATCAGGTGACATTATGTCGTTTTTCAGAACTAGATTCTTACCCTTATATAGCCACATATCTAAATATCCAGTCATGTGACTTCTTAAAAATTCGGAGTGCGTGCATCCAAGCATCTATGGTTATTTTATTTCGACTCCATGTTTTTCGTAATAGAGTACTTAACTGGCCGAACCCTTGTCAACCACCATTTCCACTATAGATCACCGTTGCAAAACAACAAGACGATATAAAGAAGTTCTGGCTGTTGAAAGCTTGTGGCGCAGTGGTCGGAGGCGCCCTACAACACACACGAGGAATCGACCCCTCCGCCCATGGTCCACGAAGCCTTCTATACCTCCGGGGTCGGCAAATTGATACCATACTTGTCTGGGAGGATATCAGCACTGGCTCAATACATCGGTAGGCCACCGCGAGTCATTGTAAAGGCCAAATGTGCATTCAGTCATGTCCAACGATGCTCATTGAAATCGAATGGATGGCGCGCAACCCTCAGGGATTGATCAACGCCGACAGCTTTATTTGTCCTTTTTAAAGGGTTATATGGTTATATAAGCATCTAAGTAGATAGGTGAGAGAAGCAGTAGCCCTCAATGGAAGGCTTGTATAGAAATGAAATAAGTACGCACTTTGTTATCTTAACAGTCTGGAGAGTAGTTGCTTTTTTGCAAGTACTGAACAGCTGTTTTGTTAGAATAGCTGTATACATAGAAATCAAACTGATGATAACGTCTTAGCATTACAATTTCTGAATGAACTAACCACTAAGACTAGGTCTTTTCGCTATTCCCTCACTGGGAAAACTTGTTGGTGATGTACTCATCATGTGTGATATAGAGAACTCTATTAATCAAGTCGGGAAAACCTCCGTTGTTCACACAAGTGGAAAATGAAGCACTGAGATTCAAGATATATCTGTAGTTAGCGAGTCGGAATTGAGCCATTTCTTTACAAGCAACACTCGTTCACTTAATCGATGTACAAATAGCTTCTTAAAACTTTTGTCTCTTCTCCAGAGACTCCTTTTTGATTTGAAGATGCTATCTGAGCGTTTTTGTGAAAAGCTGGAGCTCACGAGGAAGTCTACTTTCAGTTGCCTAAACAGCTTTTTCAAGAATAGCACCATTTTACGGCATTCCTCTTTCTCTTTTTGGGTGTGATGCGGTAAAGAATTGTTCGATCAATGCCAAAGTTAATGGGAAGTTGGTCGTGAGAAGTACTATTTTCTATTTATGGAGGATGATCGATTTTCATGAAATTGTGCGATTAAGCCAACTCTCGTCTAGCGCCGATTTTCTTCTTATTGAGAAATGAATTCCCATCGGAAAAAAGTGACTAGAATTTCATACAGACCTTGCCTATTATAACTTTAGTGTCATGTTTCAAATTTTTCTTTCATATTTTCAATTTTGCTGAAGTTTCCTAAGCCGGCGATGAACTGTATATTAACCACAACTTTTAACTTATATTTTATTGCCTACTCTTTTTATCGGCAGGGTATATTACGAAATATAACTCTAATGATGCTGAGATATTTGCAAAACTCCTGACCGCACGGTGTGCTGGTGATCGTGTTAGCCCACGGAAAGGGTAGTAGCGGGTTTGTTCCCCACCGCAGACATCTGCGGTCCGGTGTTTTGCTAATATCTCAGCGTTATTGTGAGTGTATTCCTAAAATAATTTTTAGCCCTATACTAGAGTATCTGTCCCATGTTAACTATGCTTAATGCTGGCCACATTTACCCTTGCTTTCCGTGCTTCGTACCGCCTCTACATAAACACTCTGCACAATTGTACTGCTTCCACGTGTACTTTCTGTGAAAGCTTTTATGCAAACTTCGTATTTTTGTTGAGCAAACGCGAGGTGTTACTATTCTTTGTTCACGATTAAGCTGACGTTTCGGCGGATTTCGCCTTCTTCAGAGCCTGGAAAGGTCAAGTTGATAGCAACCTTTGTTCACGATTAAGCTGACGTTTCGGCGGATTTCGCCTTCTTCAGAGCCTGGAAAGGTCAAGTTGATAGCAACTCACTCGGCCAAACGCCTCCATAACCAAACAAAGAAACTCTAAACCAAGATTTCAATCACTTTGAACACAGCTTTGCACACTCACCGATTTCTATGAGGTTTCCACTAAGTATGTCACGTAGAGACCAACCGCACAGAAATCACGTGGAAGTATAATGTGCCCCTCACATCAGAAAAGCAGTTTTATATACTGCCCTATAACACGCGTGATAATGAGGCATTCTTCCCTGCGGTTCATTTTCGGATTTCTGGAATTAATCCAGAGTGCCTCGAGAGTTTTTCGAGTTTTTTATGCAAACTATTCCAAAGCTTTCACACGAATTTTTGTATGCGGTTTTGTGCCGCTTTTCAAATGAACTTGCCATATGAGCAGCTGCGCTGCCCTCTATAAGGTATTGTATGGACCTCACGAACCTTCTGTGGAAGTAGCTGTATCAGACTAGCTAAGAAAATTTAAGAACTTTCTCTTATCACCGTCTCTAGTTCCATCCGTCAAAGCCCTACCTATTGAAAAAGAAATATAAAGAGTACTGTTAGATATCGAGTTGGTGCTCCAGTGTCTCCCCATTCCGGTGGCTTGGTCCCCCAATGTCCCAGCTCCAATGTCCCATTGTTTTGCCCAACTTCAAGTGTTCACTCATCCTTACCTAAACTTCGCCCACACCCATTCGCTGAACTAGTCATAGTCAGATTGTGTATATTGTGATGTTGTCATTGCTATAAACTGTTATAACCCATTATTGAGATTGCTCTCCGTTCATTAAGTTGACGAGCAGCGCCTTTCTTAAATCATTTTATGTCAATCTAGCAGTATATAGCTATTCAACAACATGTCAAAAAAGCAGTTTTACTGAGCAATTTGAACGATTTCTCATGCTAACCTAATAAAGGTTGTCTTTTATGAACACTATGTTTACTATGTTATACCTTTTTATTTTCTGCCTATTATAATTTCGCAGCAGGGTATTAAGCGAAATACAACCACAACGTTGCAAAACTCTGAACCGCACGTGTCTATGGTGGGGAACGAACGCGCTATTGTCCTTTCCGGGGAGTAACGCGTTCACCACCACACCATCCGGGTCCTTCGTTTTGCCTGTCTCTCAACTATTTCTATCGATCTTTTTGCCACAGCAATCACCTGTCAGCGGGATTGATCCCCGGAAAGGACAATAGCGCGTTCGTTCCCCACCATAGACACCTGCGGTCCAGAGTTTTGCAAATATCTCAGCAACGTTGTGGTTGTATTTCGCTTAATACCCTGCTGCGAAATTATAATAGACAGAAAATAAAAAGGTATAACATTGTGATTTCAAACAGCATACATTTACTTCCATAAAAAATTGAATATTGGGCAGACCATGAATATATTGGCGAAACGGGCAGAGCTTTGTGCATCCGTATAAAAGGACAACTAGATGGCAAACGAAAACTAAGACAAAGCACCCCACTAGGCGCGCATAGGATACAAAAGCGTAGCGGAGACGATTTTGAAGTAAAAGTCAATATCCTTGCATAGGAGAATAAAACACCTGCGCGAAAACCTCTTGAGACTTTTTGGATAAATGCCAAAAACCCTACAATGAATAGCAGGGACGAATGCCCGGAGGTCATACGCGACCTGATACCGTACGTTCGCATCGATTTTTGATGTGGGATGGTGCAGTCGTCAATCACATGCGACTATAATCAGCTGTTCTAAACTTCCTCATTGGAAGTTACGAAAAAGCGGTGAGTTTTTTCGAGAAGTTGTTGATTATGTAATTACCAGATTGTTCTTCGTCTTTTTGTAAGTGTTATTGAAGCGTTTGGCCTAGTAGATTGTATATCAGTATACCCTTCCAGGCTCTGAAGAAGGCGATACTGCCGAAACGTCAGCTAGCGTTGTATTGTATTGTGTTTTTCTATGGAAGTAAATGTATGCTGTTTAAAAACCTCGCGATTGCTGAACAAGAAAACGACACATTCATATTCCAATGCCGAGGTTAAGAGAAAGTCGATCCTGGGAACTATTGTGATTTCAACTACAGCCGCAGCTTAACTGGGTTCTATGCCGATTTGGGCGCCCCAGATCAATCCCGCTGACGGGTGATTGCTGTGGCAAAAAGATCGATAGAAATAGTTGAGAAACAGGCGAAACGAAGAACCTGCATGGTGTGGTGGTGAACGCGTTACTCCCCGGAAAGGACAATAGCGCGTTCGTCCCCCACCATAAACACCTGCTGTCCAGAGTTTTGCAAATATTTCAGCAACGTTGTGACTATGATTACTGTTGTAATCTTTGTCATTGAGCACATGTAGCGCTGTGGTTAGAGGTGCCACTCAATACACACATGGTCGGCGGGTCGACGAGTTGGGGAGATGATCCATGCCCGTTATTAGGGATCAAATTCTCTTCAAGAGTAACTTCAACGGTCTCTCGTGAAAAAATCTAGGACGGACTAAAAGCCTGCTTACGTTATGTAAGTCCTCTTTTTTGAAAGGCAATGCTAATGGTTTGTTATTAGATTTTTTCTGATTCAGATCAGCGTTTGAAACACAACATTCTTATGCATAAAACAATAATAGCTTGACGGTAGCTGACATTCCAAGACAATTACGGAACTTTTGGAATTCTCTACTCGTTTCGTTGTGGTTGATTTCGCATAATACCCTACCGTGAAAATTGTAGCAGGCAGTAAATAAAAAAATAAACATTGTAATTTCGAGTGCAGCCTCAGCTTAACTGGGTTCAATGCCTATTTTGGCTCTCCAAATCAATCCCGTTGACGGGTGATTGCTGATGGCACTTTTAGATAGAAAACTAGCTGAGAGAAACGCAGAGCAAGGACCTCCGTGGCACAGGGTGTAATGCGCGTGTCCCGGAAAGGGAAATCGTGGTTCGATCTGGCTCTTTGCCCCAATTTTGCGACTATATCAGCATCGTTGTGGTTGATTTCGCATAATACCATGCTGTGAAAACTGTAGTAAGCAGTAAATAAAAATAAACATTCTCTACTCGTACTTTATTCTCTATCTACATCAGTCATAAAAAAGAACAAAAAGACCAAAGATCTTTACTGTTCTGCAGATCAACTCGGTATGACTAGAAAGTTCCCTAAACGAAAGAGTACACAAATTACGCTTCAGTCACTTTTCTAACGTCTAAGAATCTTTGTAGGGAACGACAAAAGATTCGGTCATAATAGAACTCTGCGAATAAGTTAGTCGTCAAAAACTGGAAACTAGCTTCTTCTTCAAAATTGGGACCTAGTGTGAAGCTGTTGATAAGTAGTTTTGATCGGAGTAGTAAGGGTGTAAAAACGACGTTTCAGAGATGGCTGTGCTGTTAGCGTGTCCACCGTTTGTCGTCTGGAATAGATACTAATTCTAATTCTACTGAAAAAGTTCATATACCTTTATAACACTGCATCAGAGAAATAATGTAACAAAAAAAGAACTGCTTTACCTGTTGAGATTTCTGAGTTCTAGTCAATGAGAAAATTTCAAAGGGCAAACTTCAAAAGGTTACTCCGATAACGATTTTCTAGTAGTGGAGAGTTTTAAAGAGCCCACATTTTCAAGCAGTTCAACCTTAGCAACTCAGCGAATTTTCATTTTTGCAAAATATTTGGATACCTGAATGGCCCGTCCTCGCTGGTTGTGCGGGTCTTGGCACAATATCCACCTTTTCGGAGTTTTGCTGGTCTAGCCAACGTGGTTCCCTGGAGTTTGCTATCGTGCGACTAGTTTGGTATCAGGACGGTGACGGATCCTGGTATTGGCTTACTTTTAGTTGGGATTCCTGATAGAAAGCCGAACTCCTTCTCAGCTTGGGAGATCCTGCCGGAGGGACGAATCTCCCACTGTACATCGCAGTCCGACACCCAGAAACACTTCCCGGCCACGATGAGACGGTAAACCTTTTGGAGGATTTGTACAAAATAGCAATGTCATTTATCACATTCTTCACCACTTCTTCTTATACGTGGAAGGTAGTGGGAACTGCACTCTGCACACTCTCAGTAGAACTGTTCAATATGAAAAAGGGTTCTATATTTCCACCGACGAACTAAATCTTTGCCAGAGTAGGTGAGCTATCTGAGGCTACCGTGGCCAAAGAACAGTAAAAATGAAGTGTCTCCTATAAAAAGTGAGCTACACTTCAGTGCTCTCCAATGCACTTCAGTGCTGACTGTGTTGTAAACCACCAAAGAAGAAATTGTACTCCGATAGCACAAGATCTAATTTCAAGTTTGCATACATCGATAAATTAGTGAACATGAATTCTTCTACCAGAGAATTCTCCTTCAGACTCTTAGGCGTCACCATTTCATATCACTACTGTGGACGTTAGTAACCACACAAAATTTATGATTCTAACTCTTTTCAAATAATAATAAAGTCTAATTTAGAGTTCTGCCTGAAATCCACGTTTAAGCCGGTAGGCTCACCTTATTCATTGCTAAAGTATCACTGCTAACGTTGAATGATACATCAGATGGTAGAGGTATCCGCTCTGACGGAACCATGACACATCCGAGAACATCTAACTCGGCCGACAGCTGCCCCGATGTGAACAAATATTCGCTGAGTCGTGAAACCTAAAATTAATTGCACCAATTCATAAGGGAGAAAATCTTTGAGTGTAATAGTCCACGATCCGAATGCGCTATATATCCAATAGTATTTCCTTGACATTGTTTTTTCCTGAATCTATGAACCCCATATCGGTGTGTGCCACTTCAAGACGGCAAACGAGTGTTTATTGTTGTCTATTTACCATTCAAAGAAGTTGCGAAGGAATAAATAAAAATTTCTTAAATCAACATTCAATCTCTTAGAGGTGAAGGCGACGTCCAACATCAGAGTTGAAATCCAGCTACATTAAAAGGTGATAGTCTTCAGTTGTTATAGCCACAGTACAAAATTCCTGTCAACAAAACTTATTGAGATGTGAGTTAATTAACATAAAGAAATCCTTACTGCTAATATCAAAAGGTCTATTCATAATTCGTTTGGATTTGAATCAAATACAAGATTATTTTCATCACATGCAATAACTTCGACAGTGTAATGTAGCCGTTAGAGATACGCTGTAAAACACTAAAACACGCGTGGTCTTTGGTTCAACTACGCGCCTCGGGATAATCATGTTCTTTCCGTGATTGGAAGAAAATTGAGACACCACGGAATATAGCAGCACTGGCTCGATTCATCGGTAGACCAGCCTAAGTCACTAGTCACTCTATACTCCATATATGCACTCAGTTACCTTTACGAACTATAATGAAATGGAATGAAATGCATGGCGCATCGCTCAAGAATTGATCAACTGTGAGAGTTGTACTCTTCTTTTACTGGCAGAAATAGGATATTCTTATGTTAATCTTGTACCAGATCAAATCCAATAGAACCAAGGGAGCATCAATATGCAGCCTCGAAGTGTTCAAATATTGAAAAGAACTTCAGAGGATATTTGATATAACTGCACTTACACCTATTATGCAGAATAATGACGACAACATTGATACTGTCTTGAACGGGAAGTACTGTATACCGTCCTCAAACATTGGATAATGTACAACAGCTGGCAAGCCAAGCAACGGTTCACCACCTGATAATCGCAGGAGAAGACCCACTGAAAGTACTCATGAGTAGTGTTTTGAAGAAAACTAGTTCTTCACAATATTTTTACAATGATGTTCATGGTAATCCTCTAATGTTCAGCAGGTTTTGAAGAATTTCAGAAAGGCGATGAAAAAATTAGAGATGAAGAAAGAAAGATATGAAAACAAAGAAAATTAGGGGGTATGTATGAAATGAGTGAGCGCGTGTGGCGCAGTGGTTAGAGGTGCCATTGCTACACACGCGTGGAATCGACCACCGCTTCCCTGGCTCACCAAACCTTCCAACCCTTTGGGGTCAGCGAATTGGTAACAGACTTGTCTAGGAGGATAATAATAGCACTGGCTCGATACATCGGTAGGCCACCGCGAGTTAATGCAAAGGCATTTTTTTTTTGCATGCATATTTATATGCATTCAATCACCTCCAACGATACTTCATGAAGTCGAATGCATAACCCAACCCTCAGAGATTGATCAACGCCGAGAGCTTTATCCTTTATCCTTTATGTATGGAATGACGATTAAAATAAGCGTGAACAACTGATACAGCTCTACTACTTCACCTGCATAGCCAGCCAGCGATCCATAGGTGTTACTGCTTTTCATGTAGACAACACATAACAGTTGTGGAAAAAGAATCACGTAGACGAGATCGGCGCAGAGATACCGGAAAAATAACAATCACTCGATTGTATTTATAAGAATTTCTGGATGAAAAATTGTTCCTTGTTGTGAATCCTAGACCACAAAGAAATACTACTGCTTAGTAATGTACAGTATAAGCGCCCGCTCTCTAAAGAATCAAGTTCCACATATTCCTTGTTCGCAGAGGATCTGACAAACAATGATGTACTATATGGAAATTTGGAGTTATAATCCCTTTTCACGTCAATCTTTCACTATCCTTATAGTGTTAACTTTTTATTTACTGCCTTTTCAATTTCCCAGCAGGATATTATATGTGATACAACTACAATGATGCTGAGATAACTCGTATATAATGCTGAGACATTTGCAAAACTCCGGACCGCAGGTGTCTACGGTGGGGAACGAACGCGCTATTGTCCTTTCCGGTGACTAGCGCGTTCACCACCACACCACGCGGATCCTTCGTTCCGCTTGCCTCTCAGTTAGTTCTATCGATCTTTTGCCATCAGCGATCACCCGTCAGCGGGATTGATCTGGGGCCCAAATCGACAACGAACTCAGTTAAGCTAAGGCCGCAGTTATAATCACAATCTTAATCCTTTTAAGAAAAAGGCAGTAAATAAAAGGGTTAGGATGCTGAGATATTTGCAAAACTCTGCACCGCAAGTAAGTGTAATAGCGCGTTCGTTTCTTACCATCTTTCAACTAACGCGTTACGTTTTATTCATTTTTACCGGTACCTCTTCGAGACCAATGAATGTACTGTTGGTTAGTGTCCGTCTGATGTAGCTCTTATGGTCATAAAAAAGTAAAAATCAAGCAAATATTTTTCACCACGGATGAAGCTACTTGTTTTGAACAACTCGGAATCAAGTACAGCGACTTTCTCGCTATCTCAGGGAAATCCATATTGGATGAAACACTCGCAAAACATTTTCGAAGAGGTTCCGATAGTGTAATACAATGTTAGGTCCATCTCTGTCGTAGCTCATGATAAATGCGAGTGCTTTAGGAAAGTAAACACGGATGAACCATCACTCGACAGGTGAAATGAACAATGAAACCATTGTCATCATAAATTTAACCAATTAATATTGACCCCGTTCGCTTTTTTGTGCAAACCTTCGCTTATTTACCTCATTGACTCTCATGAAATTATGTCTTGCCATTCTATACCTTCTATCTCCATACCACGAAAAAACAATTAATTTTATCGAATGCTTCTCGCCAACAACACAGACTAATTATGTGGTGGTCAATACATATCGCGACATACCCATGGGATCGCTCCCAGCGCCCATGGCTCACCAAGTCTTTCATCCCTCCGGCGTCGGCAAATTGCTACTAGACTTGTCTGGGAAGATAGTACCATTGGCTCGATACGTCGCTAGGCCACCCCGAGCTATTGTAAAGGCTAGATATGCATTCAGTCACCTCCAAACGTTCCTTGATGAAGTCGAATGCATGGCGCCTCTTTCAGGGATTGATCAACACCGAGAGCTTTACCCTTTTTTATCCAATGTGCTTTATAAAGATCATGAGAAACTTGCCCGTAATAGATTTTTCTAAAGATTTTATGCACGACCTCACTGCAAGTATAAGAATAACACAGAAACAGAAATATGGAACGGGACAATATGGCCAAACTATCGCAGATTAAACAGAGTCCATCTTGATGGAAGACTCTCAACAGCTCACCTGCTTCATGTAAATTTTCATTTTTAGGGAGAAAAATCATCGACAGAGGCGGATAGCGCAGCGATAGTGATGTCAATCATCACGAGCACGGTGCTAGCTCGACCCGTCACCTTGCTCACTAAGACTGTCATCAGTTCGTAGTCGAGAAATCAGTACCAGTTTTTGATGGAAAATGTTCACTCTCTGCTTTCTAATTGGCAAAGTTCCCTCTTGGTTATCTTAGGACTCCAACGAGAATCTATTCGACCAGCGTCTAATGACCATCGTGACGAAAGAAAATCCTCGAGCACCAGCGGAACCCACACCAAAAAGTTGGATGACGTTCGTGGATGGTTTACGCGAGAAAACTAATCGAATGCAACAGGTGGTGGAATCCATACGGCAGATGTGAATGTGGGGTAGTGGAAATAAATAATATTATCGACATTATCGAGAGACGTAGGAATCTCAAAAGGGTACAACCCATGCAGAGATCTTTAACATCCTTGTCAACAAGAAGTATACTCTATTCTACGGCACCACTAGATCTTTCTGCATGAGTTCACATACCCGCCCACTTAGTGCGAAAATTCACTTCAACCGAAAAATGTAAAGAAAATCTAGTCACCCTGCGATAAGAATGAAAAAAGCGCATAGAACGAGCGTATTCTCAGTGAAGCCTTATTTAATTATGACTGATGGGAAAGCGAGCATCCGATGAAAGACCACCAGATCTTGGCGAAAGGTACCATCGAAACAGTGTTGAGCAAACTGTTCTTAATCTAGCCTAAATTTCTGAAGGTTTTCCAAGCAAGATTGAAGCGCTTTTAAAAAGGGAAACAATTTAGGAATAGATCGTGTTACCATACACATCTTACTAATGTCATCTGCAGAAAAACATTACGGAAAAGTAACACATTGTAGGGTGACGGTGGAAACACCGATAGATTAAAAAATTAGTTGAGAGAGAGAAAAACTATGGGTCTGGGTTGGTCTGGAGGAAAGCATGTAAACCCGTGGTAAGGAAAATCATGGGTTCAGAGCCCAAGTGAGGTTCCGAGTTTTGCTTGTATGTTAGCATCCTTGTGGTTGTACTTTCACGTCGTACCATTCCATGAAAAAAGGAATTAAGTAAATGAGAAAATGTAGGAAAATATTGTGTTTTACACAATTTAACAGCTAATCAGCTTGAAAACCTAACAAAGATCAGTGTAGAAACGTTTTAAAGCTTTCTACACTTTTTTTTGGTTTAGCAGTGTAAATAGTAAGCACTCTACAGTTTTCTCTATGAACATTTTACAGTATCCCTGTAAAATACCTTATTTTTCAAGTAACTGAGTCTATTACATAAGCGCTTCGTAGAAAGCACTCACCATAGCCCATAGATGCTCTGAATAGTAAGCGCCATAATGGTGGCCATCACTCCGACCGCTATAATGGCGAAACGCATCACGAAAATCACTTCTTTTTCGGGGGCCTATAGCTGTAATTCCTTTGCATTAAGGAACTCCCAGAGAAATTTATGATCTTACATGTGGTCTGATGGTGGGCTTCCAAATGTTATGGGCAAACATCGAAGCTGCTGAGAGTACTGAAGAATCTGCCGACGACATCACTGCTGCCGACACAGCTCCTAGTCCTTAACAAGATGTAAGCTTTACGGCTTTCCCTCACTACTATTTTTACTCTCTATGACAGAATGATATTAAGTGGATAAGCAGTTGTAGTGTCTCCTATTTTAAACTCATAGGAGTTTTCTCGATTTTTCCATATTCTCACTAAAAAACATTTAGCTCTCAGAATATATCCACCTAGGTATAAGTACAAAAAGGCGAAAGTTTTCTTAAGACACTATTTCTTAATGCCACCGTTCCAGTGAAAACAGCTTAATCAACCTCATTTCACACCAGTTAAGTCATGAATCCTATTCCCTTGGGGTCAAATGACTGGTGGGCATTCCGTTGATAACGAAAAGACGCTGCATTGTCAGTCGCATATCCTTTACGTCACTCTCTCTCTTAGTAGGGCTGTACTCTCAGGATCCAGAGATATCAAAATACTTCCGATGAGTAGTACTGCCATAACATCACACTGGCACTAATGTGTAGTAGAATCGTCAAATTTTAAGATAAAGCTTATGGGATAAATTAGAGAAGGGACGCACCAATAAGATAAAACCATGAATTAAAGTGAAAGTTATGCTGAAGGTAGTGAATAGCGCAATTACATTATTTAAAAGCTTGGGCGGATGACTTTGAAAAAAATGAGCGCAGCCTAATTTCACAATGAATTTATCAATGCTGTTCCTTTTTTTCCCCGTCTCATAAATGAGCAATATTCAATGGATGAACTTGAACGTCCATTAGGTAGATGACCACTCTCATTGCTTGCGAATAGGACGTGTTGGAAAGCCACCCGCCAGGATTTATACTACATCTTCATCATCCCTAAATTGTAGGTATGTAATCCTTCTCCAGCGTTTCAAATCAGAGAATCATAGAGACGAATGGGAAGTAGCTAGAATAATGGACGATTCTACAAGCAGGCAAGGGGTCATAGTTAGACATTGATGAAAATCAACTTGTTCGATTATACAAAAAATAAGGCACAAATACTGAAAAGAAAAAACTTCACGGATTCAACAATAGACAAATGCTTTGAATATGTTGAACACTGGCGAAACAAGAATACGGAATTTCAAAAATTTCCGTGAAGTAATGTAATACTACTATGGGAGCGTGTGGCGCAGTGGTCGGAGGCACGCTGCAACACACACGTGGAATCGATCCTTGCCCTTGTTGCTCACTAAGCCCTCCATTCGTCTGGGTTCGACAAATCGGCACCAGAACTGAGTGGGAGGATAGCAACACAGTCCCAATACATCATCGGTAGGCCACCGCGAGTCATTGTAAAGGCCAGGTATGCGTTCAATCACCTCTAAACGATTCATAATGAAGACGAAAGCATGGTGCACCCTAAGGCATTGATCAACGTCCAGAGCCTTTTTCAATGTAATACACTGCTGGCAGCGGTCTCTATCACGGCTAAACAGATATGCCTTATTGGGGCTGCGAATATGATCAGCAAAAAACATCTTTAAGTTCGAGAAAACTAAACGAAAATTGGTTCATCAGGACATTCTTCTTTTACCAACCCACAATTTTCATCTGGCATGATCCAACTCAGAAAATGAAAATTTCGTTTCAATATTAATTTCAGACCACTCGACAAAATCAGAATTTTCAAACTCCTATGGCATGGTGAATACTTAGAAATATTAGAAAAGTGCTTTAATAAAATTAAAAGTATTACTGTAAAATCGTATTGACTTCCCAATACTGAAAGTTTGCTGTAAAAAGTTGCCTTTCCACAGAAACACTTTCAAAGGGAAAGAGTTGCAGTAACCCAACCCGCAAATGCATTCATACCTACTTACTTGGATACTTGGACGGCTCGTCCTCACTGGTTGTGTGGGCCCAGCATAACCTCCATTTTCTTTTCTCGGAGTTTTGCTGCTTCAGCCATTGAGTGAGTGGTTCTGCGGAGTCCCAAAGGCATTCAGCCTAAAGTCTGCGCCAGGTTGTCACCACCATAGGCAGCCGCCGCCCTCGTGCATCAGAGGGAGATTTCGCTCTATGCGACTAGTTTGGTACCCAGACGGTGACGGATCCTAGCATTGGTTTACTCTTAGCTGGGCTACCTGATGGGAACGTCTGACTCCTCAGCCTCGGAGATCCTGCCAGGGAATGAATCTCCCGCTGTACATCGCAGCCCGACACCCAGTAACACCTCTCAACCACGATGAAGTAGTAAACCGTTGGGAGGGCATTCATACTGCAAACCTAGAAAGTAAGAAAGGATGAAAAAACACGGTATACCTATAAAAGCAACCCATTTTGGTGTGAGATATTGAAACACAAGAGGAACGACCATATTTCGCTTGTCCTCAGGAATTTCTTCGACTTTTGTCCCGTTATTCCATGGTGAGTACTCCGTGAGGCGCCAATCTGAACAAACAAGATTACACAAAACTAGAAATTGGCAATAGAATTTGTTCAAAAAAATAGGTGGAAAAATTGTATTAATGAACACTGTATAGAGAACTTCTCTCTGGAAAAGTTCTCTATGTTTCTAAACAATAGATTTGATATCAATATATTGCCACCTCGCAATCGCACATTAAACACCACAATGTAACTTTTATAATCATATCTTTTTCACGTTTAAGAGCAGCCCAATAAGTTGGCTGCTATAGAGAACTTCCCTCCTGAAAAATTCTCTATCTATCTAAACAATAGTATTTGATGTCCATACCATGGTTATTTCGCAGTCGCACACCAGATACCGCAATGTAACCTTTATAATCTGCTCGGTTAATTATGTTCAGTGTTTCAGGCACAGCAGCGGTTCAGGTTTGACTTCAGCAGCACACCAACGATGGCTTATCCGAAGGAGGCGCAACAGTGGTACAGTTTACTACTTCCTTGTGAGACAACAAAGCCAATGACGTTTGATGTTTCGGGCTGTTAGGTACAGTCTACTGCAGCCCAGGATCAACAATCCAGATTGGCCGCAGTTGCATACTCACCCGGCTCCCGCATCCAGTATAGGCCAGGTGCCTTCGAGGGCCGAGACATGCCATCGCTCACCGTACACCCGATCGGTAGCGCGGATAATCCGCACCTCACAACATCATTCCCAATCATCTCAGTCATCTCAACTCATTCTCAGCCATACTCGTTCATTGTCACTCATTCTCATTCATTCACATTCAACCTTCAGCAATTAGCAAATTGTTGTACCTCGTTTCTTAGCTTGTCTACGGTGCGATGTCAGTAGTTTCCAAATGCGTTGTTTGTAACTCCATCGGTGGCATGTACCATTCTTCCCACAATGAACACCATGAGTACAAGGCCGCTCAGCGGCCAACGTATGCCATGTATTCTGTTAAGTCGCTATAGGCTTATCAGTTTCAGCTACTATCATACTGGCCCTTGACTCTTAAGCAATGATGGCAACCGTCGATGCCCAAACTTCACGTTGCTGACATAGCGATATCCACGACAGCCGCCTTTGTTCCGTAGATGAGATTCGCTGTCCATAGCACTGTCAACGCTCATGCAACTAACTGTCCTCATCGATCCACTAAAATGCACCTCATCGCTATAATGTTGAAATCTTAGCTCACCCGAAAACACGGCTAGTCTGTATCCCTCTCCGCCCCAGCATACCGTCTCACTCTCCGCCCCAGCGTATAGTCTCCTTTCTCCGCCCCCAGCATACTGTCTCCCTCAGCCACCGCACCAGCCGCGGATAGACGCGGCGTAGCATTGCTCACGGCTAACAACGGTTACTTCTTTGTAATCATTCATTATTACTGTTAATATTGTACTAATGGTACAATAATATTCGAATGCCATTATCTCGTTGTTAGCCTCACTTCACTACTAGCCTTAGCACCTCATAGCTTTAACTCGCATCATTCCTCTACCATTACTTCTCTATCGTTACTATTACGTTATTAATGTTGTATTTATGTACGTAAATGGTTTAACTACTCAAGTTTGAGGCTGGTAGATTAACACAACAACTGAAAGACCTGCGTAGTTAAGAGTCTACACCAAGTTGAACCGCTACACTTGGCCGCTAAGTATTTCGTTACACATTGCTGAAAAGCGACAAACAGCCTAAGAAACTCTCAGAATTTGAAAATGAAACAAATCCAACAAGAATTGTCTTCTACCAAACAAAAATAGTTGTTTGCATTAGCTCTAATGTTCTAAAGAACATTAAAAACTCTGACGGGAACTCAAATATCATACGGAGTGTAAGTCTAGTAAATAAGTGCATTGTCTAAAACCACCTGTATTTCGAGCAATCGCTCCTATAAGAGCCGGTGGTATTGCCATCAGCAGACATCCGAGTCCGGCAATGAACGACAGCTTCTGAGCTCCAGATGATGTGCGCGACGACAGAACTCGTTGGAAATATACCTAAGATCACCTTGAAAATCCGAAACGATACCCAATTACAAAAATTTCCACAAAGATCTTCTTTTCATTGCTTTCCATTTCTTTGCTCTTTCTCTACGGTTTCGTTGCAGAGATTAGCAAACTCGTTGAAAAGGACCTTATCTGCAGAACTTTCAGTTTAAAAATGTGAATTTTCGTCTAATGCTACTGAAACTACGCCGGGGTTTCAAAGTCACAGTAGAAATCTCAGTAGCATTGCTGGCGTCAAGATGTTCACCTTCATGAGCAACCAGTAAGAAATGGAACATGTGGGACGTACCTGCCAAGGAATTCCACCGAAGACCAACAACAGCATGCAGTCCCACCAGAGTGATGTCTCCTTAAACCCGCCGATTTCTCCTAACCAATCCTCGGCGTTTCTTCTGAGATCTCTCGTTGCATCTTGTAGAAGCGCAGCAGGCACACAAACCCACTGAACACAGTCTATACTGATAAAAATCTCAACGCTCTTGTTGGAAACCAAGTAGTACATGACTCAGTTCTGACTTCAGAAGCAGAGAAGCACCATGATAAATTGAATGAAATCTGTGGTGCGTAGGGAAGTCAGTGGAAAAACGATTTTGTAGATTCAATAATCGTAAAATGTACCAAACCAACGAAGATGCAAAAAAGTTGCACGACGTCGGTGTAAGCGACAGCATAGAGGCCACCGGTAAAAGTGTATAGAACGGCTATTAGTGCTGAGATCACAACCGATATATTCATGTCAATGCGCAGAATCACCGACAGTGTCGCTCCTGAGGAAAACTAGAGATCAGGTCAAGAAGTAACCACATTCTACCATTGCACATTTGTAAGTCCGATTACGACAGTGATAAAGAAGAGTGAGCCTTTCGCAGCGCATGCAGCCATTCTAAGCAATTTTGTTCATGTAATGGTAAAAGGTGGGTCTAGCGCAGTGGTTGGAGGTGCTTTGCGATCCATTGTTTGTTTCTTTCCCACATCAAGGAATAACTAACTATACCATGCATCCCTCTGGGGGTCGGCTGATTGGTGGCAGCTTTGTCTGAGAAGATGAAAGCGTTGAATTCATGTATCGCTATGCACCACAAATCATTTTATAAACCAACTTTGCACTCAATCACCTTTACTTCAGTGGAACCGAATGCATGGCTTACGCCCAAGAGATAAATTCCGAACACTCTTTTATACATTATCCTTTCAGAGATTCCAAACGACACTGGTAAATGGAAATATTGCCCACTCAGTACAGATGAGACTTGGTTTACTTTTTCCTGGTCAAAGAAGTGAACAGAGGTAGCTACGTTGCATAGGTTTTTTTGACCATCGCTAGCAGAAACGTGCATGATCACTATTAGCGTGGGCGTTGGAAAATGAGGAATTCAAAGACACGCCTCAGAGAAACCGCAATAATCTAATGAATATAAGCATGAAATATGCTGATATTTCCCAAACGTTGTAGGTGAGCAGGGCCAATGAATTTTATAGTCCCAAGCTATTCCGTAGTTTCTATCTTCTCAGTTTGTTAGAGTATTTTTTTACACAAAACAAAGCTTTTATTAATTCACCGAGAGCTGAGAGAATAGCGGCACTCCAGAAGACTTCACCGAATAAGGCTGGAATGAACATCAAGCCTCCAACGCGCTGTCCGTATTTGATCTTCAAAAGAAAAAATTTATACGGAAATAGATGTGCAGATATAAATTATAGCAACCAACCCCAGAAGAGTTAGTATTTCGTTCTATTACTGTACGTTTCTGTAGTAAGGATCATATCTACTGTTTCTCAAGTTGCCTGGCAAATGTCATAGTACGTAAATATTTCTATCACATCCTAAGGAATTTCCTGATACTCCCGGCCAGTGCATCAGAGCATCGCATTTGCTAGCGGAAAATAGCTCTTCGGGTCAGAATAGACCCTGCAACCCGAGTCAGTTCTCGGCACCGAATAACCACTAGCCTTAAGCAGAATGCTCGACTTCGTGAGAAGACGCCACGCGGGACTTTTCGTAGTTGAAACAGGGCAACACCTTTCGACACTGGGATTAAACGTTTATATACATAAATGCAACATCGATGCAAGAGGAATAACGATGGAAAAATACTGGCGTAAGAATAAGGCAATGAAGTGGAATGCAAGACTCGATAGAGACTGGCAAATCCCGGTGCTAGTGGGCGTGGCTTTGTCCAAGCGAGTGTCGTTGCTCGTAGGGTCAAAGCTCAGGTCGCGGGGTCTATTCCCGAAGCAATGAGACGTACCGAATAGCATGCCTGGTGGTATGACTGATGGTTACGAGATGCTGTGTCTAGTGGCGTGGCAAAGGCCGTCTTTATCGACTTATTGAATGTGTTTATTAGGTTAATAGAGGATTCACTATTTGATAGAGGAATTCTCTATACAAAGTTCCTTAGGATGGGATCGAAGTCTCTGCGGTGGTAAACGAACGCGCTATTGTCCTTTCCAGGGAGTAACGCGTTCACAACCGCACCATGCGGGTCCTTTGTTTCGCGTGTCGCTCAACTAGTTCTATTGATCGGCGCCATTAGCAATCACCCGTCAACGGGAATGATCTAAGGAGCCCAGATCGGCAACGAACCCAGTTAAGCTGAGGCTGCAGTTATAATCACAATTTTAACTTGTTATTTACTGCCTACTCTTTTCAACGGCAAGGTATACATTGCGAAATATAACTTTAATGCTGAGATATTTGCTGAAAGGTGATGAAAGCGTTACTCCTCGGAAAGGGCAATAGCGCGTTCGTTCCCCACCGCATACCCTGCTGTCCGGAGTTTTGCAAATATCTCAGCATCATTAAAGTTATATTTTACAAAATACACCCTGTCGTTAAAAAGAGTAGGCAGTAAATAATAAGTTAAAATTGTGATTATTCTGGGGATAGTTGCTATATAAGTGGACTCTTTCCACTTTCAGCCTCAACTACATGATGTTCTAAGCTAATTTCTGGGATAGCTCGTAGGTTTTTGAATCTCAGACCGTCACGCAGAACTTTTTCTCGTCGTTTAATACCTGAAATGGATCCAACATTGTGACGTATCCCTCGTCTCTCATCTTCTTGGCGAACAAAAAGCCACCCATCACCAGAGAGAGGGCGTAACCGATTGGAGCCTGGCATCCCAGCACACCTCCGTTGTAAAGCGCTTCTGCAGTACCATTAATGTACGCTCCTCCCACCCAGGTTGCTGGAAAGAGATTGTGGAAGACTTTTCATTATCTGTTAAATCATTTATTAAAAGATGACGTAGTTGGACGAGCAACCAAAACTCAACTCTCAGGAAATGAATCCCGAAAAAGCTTCGAAACCCACACCAATTATAGATGACTTTTTTTTCTAGTTAAAACTTTTCTTTATAGCATACAGTGCAGTTTATATAGGAACTACTTCCAAGAAAAAATATTTGAGCTTAGAAGACGAAAGAAAGATAGTTTGACCTATTTAGAGTCAAGGATGGTGAATCTAATAGGTTTAAGGGATGCGCTACGTTCTATGGCGAAGTTGAAGTTCAATCCATGATCTCACTGTGAGTCCGATGAAATGTTCTTTAATCAGGAAGTTAAGCATCTCCAAATGGTTTTTATTTAATGCGCTCAAGAGTCCACAAGGTAAAAGCCTATCTATTTAATGATTGCTGTAAACCATAAAACAGATACTATATAAAGGATTAAGGAGTGAGCTCTCGGCATTGATCAATCCCTGAGGGATGCGCCATGCATCCAACTTCATTAAGTATCATTGGAGGTGATTGGATACATATCTGGCCTTTACAATGACTCGCGGTGGCCTACCGATGTATCGAGCCAGTGCTGCTATTCTCCCAGACAAGTCTGGTACCAATCTGCCGACCCCGGAGAGATGGAGGGCTTGGTGAGCCATGGGCACGGGAATCGATACCACGTGTTTGTCGCAGTGGCATCTCCAACCACTGCGCCACACGCGCCCTTCGCCACAGACATTATATATTAGTCGAGAAATTGAGCAGCTATGAGAAGGTAGAGGAGCGTGTGGCGCACTGGCTAGATATGAACAGTAAAACTTATGTCGTCAAGAGTTTGATCCTGCATCCTGATCCACCTAGCCAAACCGCCATCCCTCACAAATCAGTACATCGGCAAGTCGCCGCAAGTCTATTGCTGGAACCAAATACGCATCCGATTGTCTTTACTAAATGAAGCCAAAGGCAGTGCACATCCTTCACGGAAGAGGAAACGTCGAATGGTTTGCCTTTTTCACGAAAAACCAATTATAACGGTAACTATTTTACTTCCTTATTCAGAAACGAGAAAGAAATGTTCTTAAATAGGATCCGCATGGTGTGGTGGTGAACACGTTATTCCCCGGAAAGCGCTTTCGTTCCCCACCGCAGACACCTGCGGTGCGGACTTCTGCAAATATCCCAGCATCACTACTGTTGTTCTTAAATAGATTCTCTTGAGCAGAGATATCGGTTCCCATTTTCAATGAGTTATGTCTGTCCCATTCGTCTGGAACGAGTAAAAGCTTTCAAGACGTGGTAATATCAATTTGCACTTCCATTCAGAAAAGCTTCCGTCGCTTTTTGCGACGATTCCAATTCGTTTTCGCACTTATCCTCGCTGAATCTCATCTGATTGCAGCAAAATTTCAATTGCTCTTCGTGATTTAAGAAATCCACAGATCTTCCCTGATTTCCAGCTTCATGTAACAGATCAAGTAAAAGGAAGGTGACAACTATGGAAAAATAGGTTGACTAACCGGTCATGGTGAATATTCCGACCAATGTGCCAATGTTTCTTCCGGCTAGCATCACTTCTTCCGTATGTGCACCAGCATGATCGACACATTCTTTGGCGTTCTGAATAGGAGAGTCAATATGGTTAAGGCAAAATAAATTAGAGAATTTATAAGTTATAAAGTTCTTTAGATAGATATAGATAAAACTAGCTGAGAGGAACGCAAAGCAAGGGCCTCCGTGGTGCAGTGTGCACTGAGGGAGCCCCCGGAAAGGGAAATCGTGGTTTGATCTGGCCCGGGGTCCAAGTTTGCGAACATCTCAGCATCGTAATAGCTGATTTCTCATAATGCACTGCCGTGAAAATTGTAGTAGACAGTAAATAAAAAAGTAAAACGTTGTTCTTTAGGTAGTTTTAGATGAATTGTCCCCGTTTTCTTTGTGAATAAGCAGAAATGTAGTGAAAAATTTTGTATTCTTTTCACAGTTAATGTGAGCGTTGGGATAGACGTACCCTACGAAGCAAAGTGAAACAGAAAAACTTTTTTAAAAAGTCATTTTTATTACAGCTGTTACGACACCAGCTTGTTTTACGGTAGTAATTGGCTATGGTCATTTTTGAAGCTAGAATTTATCCCATTCATTTTAAACTGGCAATGAATAAGAATGGCAGGATTCTTAAGAAAAATCTGTCTTAGTACCAACCCTTGTGTTTCCCTGACATTTACTTTTGCCACAGCCAAAAGGTAGTACTTTTCACGGCTTGTATGATACAAAGAACTTCAAATTGCAGGAGGAAAGCGGTAGGTCAAAGGGAGAACAGTCACGTAATTTTTTTATTGATTTTGGACGGACGGAAATGACTTACTTATAAAAATACAGTGTCAGAGCTCTAAAACTCTTCCTATATTTTATTTTTAGGGAGTAAAATGAAGAGGTGAAAATGCTGTTGCTGAAGAAGAATCGTACAGTAAAAATTTAAAGGATCTCAATGGAACCTTAGTGACCTTAACCTTAACCTTAGTGAAACACTTTAGTTTCCATGGGATGCCGATGATGTTGTCGAAATTCGGAAGAAAGATAAGGATTCTAAATTCTACGTCACCAACGTCATCATGGAATTTATGGACATGTTTGCATTAACTCGATAATGTGAAAGAGAAACACTTAAGGAATCAGAAGAACAAAAAGGCGAGTGATATAATGTAGTCTTTTCAACAGGCTGAAATAAACCTCCATTGTAAAATAAACTGAATTGATAGCAGTTCAGAAAGGATATGTTCCCCCTGGTATAAAACGAATAAATCTTTTACGAAAACGACTAGAGTTGAGGGAAGACAATCATTAAATAGATTAAAGAGTGCCGAACTGAGTTCCGTTCGGAGATTGGAACGTATTTTATGGTGTCGTTCAATGATTTATTTCAAAACGAGATCTCAAATGAGAAAAGTCACCGCTGACTTTCGTTTCTATGATATTCAGCGCTGTACGCGATGGAGACTGCGTAGGAGATTATCACAAGAAGTGCTACTGTGTAAGTTCGAATCGTAGTTGGTTCGTAGAATCAATTTCCAGCGAAAACAATAAAAGCCCCTTCCAATCGATTCTTGCGAATTTCTAGAAGTTAATTCAAGTGAAAACTTCGTCACTTTCATAAGGACTACTGTTTTATGAAATGCGATGGTGAGTAAAGGCTTCGGTTACTCAAAGGATGCGACCCCAGTGATGTTATAGGACTTCTTCTCTGAGAGAAGAGACATTTTTTCCAAGCTAATCATGAGTTAAGCACTAATTTGTAACATAAAGGAAGTTAAAATTAATATATAAAATTCAGTATGTTCAAAAAATCATCGTTTCCGCTTTCTGTGGAAGATGAGCTGCCCCGCATGCTGTCCACACAGGACATAAATAAAACATTTTCTGTAACCCCTAATCTTCTGACCTTATTTCTTAGTTATCCCTTATCCTTTTTTACCTGCAAAATTTTTTGGTCTGTATCATTTATACTCCTTTGTGAAGAGAGTGCTGGTGATCTTAATTCCTAGATGACAAAATTTATGTGTTAACGAGGCTTACAAGGTTGGCTTACGTAGACTTAGTTTAGGTTAGGTATAAGGTATAACAATGTTATGGCTTATCAACGGACAGCCTTATCAAGACTTATGTGTTTTCATAAATAAACGAACTAGGCGAAAGGTGAAAATTCTTACACCTTCATTGAATAATCTCGTTTTCAGAGCTATGTTAATTTTTTAAATAGAACTTTTGAATTTCCAAGTCAATAGAATTTGAAAAACAATAGAAGATTTTTCAAGGCCATCCCTAATTTTACCAACCATTGCCGATAAGAATTAGCAGGTATGACAAGATTGATGGCGGCTGTGAAATAAATTGCTCTACTAAATCTACCTTGGATTTCCTGCCGGCCCAAATTCCTACGATAAGAATCAGAACATAGAAGAAGATGATGGCGACCACCCCGAAGAAGTCGGCCATTTGTGGTCAGGAGTAGCAGGGCAGGTCTGTAATGCTGGATTTGAAGTCTAAAATGATCAAAGAGTACAAATAGCAGAAAAATATCACAAAACAAAGATGAATTCATAAGTCATCAAGGAAGCCTAGTCGGCACTTAGACGCGAAAAAATAGCTTAAAGTGGTGTTAGATGTAAATCAGATAAAATGGACGTTATATGATCATAGCACTTCACTCCCTTTGTGGTCTTAACGGACGTCTTCGGATTTGCATATAAATTCAGCTCCCGCTTGAGAAATTTGTCGTCTTCATGAATGGTGCTAAATGTTCGTAAAGTTAATTCCCCTTGAAATCCCGGAGAAGCTAAGCTAGAGCGGCTTGGTTCATCACCATGGGCAGTTGCTCATAATTTTGGATCTAAGGTTTCTCAGCTCCGAAGAGATATAATAGAATGCTGGGTCGGTTCGGAGTGGGGTCGAACAAGGGAGCATATATGTATTAAGCGACATCTCTAACAACGGCATTCATGTGACAACCCCATAGGATATGGTGGATTTAACTGCTGTTCAATCATAGCATCAAGACCATAAATCAAGCGACATAAAAAGTCAACCAAAGTGTATAGCTTGGGCATTCGAGCTTTTGGATAAAGACAGTTTGCTCGACGAAATAATTGAACTAATATAGAACATTTATACGTGGATAAATCAGTGGTGGGTGGGCGAAAAGTAAAGAAATGTAGGTAGTGGTTTTTAAGTGATTAGAGTGGTTTAAGTGGAAAACACGAAATATTTGACGTTTCCAGAAGTTGAAGATAACATTTTCCAGTTTTTAAAGCTACTGAAATAGGACATTATTGATTACAAACAGAAAGATGTTGGGTTTTCCTTTTTCTGTTATTGTTGGAAGAGTGCCGAATAGTTGCATGATGTTGCTGATCTTCTGAATTTCTTCAAAAACTTCTATGAGGTTCAAATTTACGCACACTTCTGAGCTTTCGACGTGGAAATATCTCATGCAGTGTTTACTTTTTTATTTACTTCCTACTACCATTCTCACGGAAGAGTATTATGCGAAGGCAATCACGGTAATGCTGAGATATTCGCAAAACTTGGACCCAGCGCCAGATCGAACCACAATTTCCCGTACCGGGACTCGCGCACTACACACTGCTCCACGGAGTTCCTTGTTCTGCGTTCCTCTCAGCTAGTTTTCTATCTGGTTATCGTGGTTCAATCAGGCGCGAGGTCCAAGTCTTGCGAATATCTCAGCATTATTGTGACATCTAGTGTAAGTTGCACAAAAGAAGGCTCTAATTCTGTGTTCTTTCGTAAAGGAGTTGCTCTAAAAAGATAAAAGAACATGCAAACTATTTTGCCAAGTTTTCTCAGTTCAGTAGTTGAATGATTATTCATCGGAAATTCCCAAAGCGCATATTGACGACGACAAGAAATTCTTCCACAAAAGCTTTTGAAATCCTTTCAGAATTTCCAACGAAAAGTCAATGGAGAAATTTCCGAGAAGCTGATGACGCCAGATATATTCCAATTTGAGACCGTTACTGTTTTTTTAAGGTTTTCTTAATTTTGCTATTCATATTAATTCCGTTCATTGAAGTAGGTCTATCCTTGGGCTACAAATTTCCTTCGTGTTAGATTGTTATTAGCATAACGATAAAAGTAGTAAACATAATTAGAGTCCATACAATAAGAGACTACAAAAATAGAAATGCAATTGCATACTACGGATTTCCGAGGGTACTAAAAGCATCTGAAGAGTCTAAGATGATCTGAAATGGTTTCATATACAGGAGGAATATCATTTCTACCTTGTTTGCATTCAGGAATGTTGAGAAAATGAACTATTGAGGAATTTCACACGGTGCTTTGGAATTTCGGTTTTGTTCAAACAAAATATTCTTCGCCGATCTTTAAACGATTGGTATGACACATGACACTATTCAAACTGCAATTAGAACAGCTAACAAAACCATATGAAGAAGTGTCTTCGCTCGTGCTACATCAGGTCTTCAGTTTCTTTTGGAGAAAATCAGAAAAGCCCATTCACTTGGAAGAAGTGCGTTCTGCATTAAAGCTAGAGAGGTGAACTGGTAATGAATAGATATCACCGTAGATGAAAGTGTAGGAAGCCCAAAATGTGTGCGTGAATGAACATCATAAGAAAGGTTACAAATAAACGAGTGAATATAAGATTTGTAAAATGTGAAGGAATCCTGGATCGTGGATAGAGGACTACAAGCAAGGAGACTGGTTGAAATCGGAGAGAGAGAGAGAGAGAGAGAGAGAGAGAGAGAGAGAAATGGATGCGAAATTATGAGTGGATCAGTAAGAATGAGGCACCGGCAATAGGTCGAAGCTTACTTTTCCTCATCGACGAGACCTTCGTGCACTTTTATGCCCTGGTTAGCATTTAGGGTTAGGAAAACTTATAAGAATTAGCAGGAAATGCAATAGCTCTGGCGTGTGTCGGGTATTCCTAGAAAAATCAACACATCGGCGCGACATCGTCGGCAGTGCGGACACCAGCACCGAGAAATCTGGGCGGGATGTCGTCGCGAAGATGGAAAGCGATGAATAAAACATCGAAGACGGAGGAGTTTCGACAGTCTACGAGGTTTTGGTTAAACTTAAAGCGATTTTCTTCGTATTTTTGTTGAGCAAACGCGAGGTGTTAATATTCTTTGTTCACGATTAAGCTGACGTTTCGGCGGATTTCGCCTTCTTCAGAGCCGCTTTCTATGAGACCAACCGCACAGAAATCACGTGGAAGTATGTCTCTACGTGACATACTTAGTGGAAGCCTCATAGAAAGCGGCTCTGAAGAAGGCGAAATCCGCCGAAACGTCAGCTTAATCGTGAACAAAGAATATTAACACCTCGCGTTTGCTCAACAAAAATACGAAGAAAATCACTTGATCAATGCCGAGGTTAATAGAAAGTCGGTCGTGGCAGTTAAACTTAAAGCATTTTTTCCTTCATCGTGCCACTCTGCGAAAGTCATGGTATCACCGTTATTCGGTAGAGCTCAGTCTTTTATTCAAGTAGAACTCGACAAGAAATCATCATAAACAGTTGTGCGAACTGCAAGTCATCATTCCTTTAATAGTCATGTTCTTTGAAAGTATCCAATCGAGTTAACTGCATGTCATTATGGTCCTTTGAAGAATCGAAGGCAGCAAAATCCGTCGAAGGTCATTGGAAGGAGAACGAGGACAAATTAGAGCCGTGAATGGTACAAGAATTTGTTTTTTGTTTTTGTTACTTGAATCTATGGTGTTTTTCTTACCACTGTGAGTGCAGAATGTTGTTGTGATTTCCCACGATTTTTGCCCTGACTTTCAATTAAAATGACTCCCTTCAGTCTTCGTACACATTGTTCTTAATAAATGGCGTTATGCTGATGGTCCACAGCGCCAAAAGGGAGTCTGATCATTTCCATGGGATTGAGAGTGGTGGACGAGCTGGAAGAATAAGAGAACCATGGCTTGATTAGGATTCTGTCGTCATAGAATTTCAGTCGCCGTTCCGATTGTTGTTGTCGATATTGAGCAAATTAGCTCTTAACGTAGGTCTACCTCATTTCTCAAGCAAACTTTTTCTAGTAGAAATCAATCACATTATTTATGTATAAATTATACCATGCAATTAAAGGAATAAATACAATGGACGCCATAAGTTTTTCCATAGGTAAAGAATGCATTTGTATTCTTGTCAAGGGCTTCGCTTTGACTCCGGTTTCCTTTTAGCCACAAGTCTTCAGAAAAGCGAGGTACTATCATACAGGTTTCAACCACATTATTTCTTACTAGCTTGTAGCTAGTTCTAACAACATTATCATTTTTTTATTTTTTTATTTCATATGAACCGTCTTCACGTCTACTGTGCGTATTCCAACACTTCCCACATTCGATCTTTCCTCGCATCCATTGTCCACAAAAACCTTCCAACTTCTACGTGTGGCTTCGGTTGATGCAATAACAACGCTATCAATACAGGTTGTATAAAAGCTGATATCGAGAATTAATATAAAAAAGAAGAGTGAGGACAACATTAGTAATTTATTAATACAAAATGTAGGATAGTAGAGGATTTATGAAGCTGAGATGGAGAAATGATAACCAAGTTCGTAACAGGAGAAGGGTTCATAAACATTGTTTGTAATGAGCGGATAATACTGTAAGGATTGTTGCTCCAACGCAGGTAGTGTTGTACAAGCTGCCACAATTCTTTCCTGTGAGCTTCAAAAGATTCTATAGTTGACTAAAAAATCTGGAGCTTCAACGAATATACTGTATACTTTCTAGGGAGCAGCTACTTGCTTCAGTCGGAGTTTTTCACATTCAGGGTGGAGTATATAGAGCCTCGCTTCGATCGAAATATGATAGTTCTGCGGCTGCATATGGTGAAGGCTCGGGAACTTTCTAGTGTAGTTGTCCCAGGATTCCAGAGAGAATCAATTCAATCAGCATTCAGTGAAAATGATGAGAATGGTGAAATCCTCAAGCAGCAAACGATTCCATGCACATATACGAGAACCTACGTGGGTGACGTATATGGGAAGCGAGCTGAGCAAAGGACCATGAAGACCATTCGAATCCCTTTTGAGCGAATAGCAATTGATAGCAAAATTTGCGAAGTTATTGAATATGGTACAAAAATTCAAGGATCGTTTCTCATACAGAGTTATCTCATACAGTTTTTGCTCATATTAATACAGGAAGGTTACGGCGGCTATTGACGCTTAGCACGTTAAACCATCCAGAATTTTTGAAGTACTGTTAAAAATGTTTCAAAAGAGAGGTAGTCAAGAAATCAGAGAATGCACTAAGAAGTTCGTCATATCCTTAGACTATTTAGATTCTAAGGGAGCCAAATCAGTATGACAACGGCCATGTATTTGAAGCTGAAGTACAACTCTTCTATTAACCTACAAAGAGAGTAAAGCGACATTTAATTCCAAAGCAAGAACTATAAAGAAATCCTAGCAATAAATTTTTGCTTCA